CTAATGGCCCTTGGTGTGGGGGACGCCCTGCCCAAGGCACGTACTATTCCTCACCCAATGTAGCCTTTATCCATATTAGGATACGGGAGTAGGAGGGGTGGTCCCGCCTAGGTGCCCTGTAAGGACCTAGGTGCCCGGCGAGGCGGGTCCGCGGCTCAAAGAGGGCAGGAACCCCACACCCACATCCTATTCGTAACAGTGCTCCACTGGCCTGCCGTACATTATGTGAGTGTGCAAGTGCAAAGTGACACTGAACTAACTATGCTTCATGCAGAGCGTGGAGTTATATAGGTGGGAACAAGGTTTTAAGGATTATTTTTATTTGGCACCAGCACACGGTACATGTGCATTGCCTCGCAAGCAAGACTGTGTGGCATTATTGTCCACCGGGTTAATCAAAGGATGCCACTTGCGCAGAGCACACAATAGTCCAAGCTTGTTAACTATATTTACATTATAATCATACCCAATCAAACTCAACTACAAGTGTGTCGTTGTTTGAGAGTGTAACAATCCTTACTTCCACTCTGCGTATCCCCATGGTGAGCCGCAGGACCACAACAATGACCAAAACATTTTAGTGTTGCCATGATATCTAGCAGCTCTTGTATTAAACGATTGGTCCTGCCAAATGATGGTTGGAGAATCTACGCGTGACAGGCCCTCGTTCCCACCTGCAACATCAATATTTTCAACTAGTGGTTGGGCAATTGCCAAATAAGTGTACAAAATTTTTGATTGCAATTCTGCAATATTTTGGGTGGTTTGTCAGTAAACTCCATTAGATTGTTGCTTTGGTTTCCTTCTCCTTCTTTTCCCTTCTTGTTGCAACATTGTTATTTGTGTTGTGACATTCTGGGGATCAGTGCAATTTCCAAGCATTGACGTGCAGAAAGTTTTCAAAATCGTAGTGCCAGTACGCACACCATTTTGCAACTGCTCTGGTGGCATACTTGGGCCAATCCCATAGTGAGATAACACGCAGCTCCTTGTGCATACGTTGATTAGCCCAGATATAATTGCCTAGTTGGCTTGGCAACTATGTGGTGAAACAAGCCAGTCCACCATGCTCGGGACATCAATCATGTGGCATTGTATGACCACACCAGCGTCGGGTGGAAAAAAATGAACAGATGCAAGACACAAAAAATATGTTGTCAGATGTGTGCACGCTCATCATCATTTGCAGTGTGCAAGGGCATTGCTTTGCCTTGTTGAGAGCAACCTTAATAGATTGCAGCGGTGAATAGAGCAAGATGCTGCCCAGATCTTGTGCAGGATGGGGAAAGTTGCCGAAATTTCTGACAGGCTACTTGTTTCCGCCTATTGTCGACCACTTGTTTCGCCAGAGTTGCCATCAAGTAGCTCTTGTTTTATAAAGCCCAGATTTGCCTGCATTCTTGCTCTGCAATACCCAGAACGGTCAACACATTGCCACGAAACAGCTGGCACACGGCCTGGTGCCGGCGCTGGTTGTGGTGAAGCCCGTCAACACCTTCATTGGCGCGCATCGGCAGTGGGGCCCAGGTTGGTGGAAACCTGTGTGGCAGCAGAGTGGGCGACGGGGCCTGTGCAAGGTGAAAGTCGCGATGGACACTGTTGCTGCTTTGCGGGGAAGTCGCCGGCTGCTATGCGTATCTCCGCAACCTGGAACCTAGTGGGGACGCCAGGGAGGCTGGCGATTGTCGCATCGCAGGCGGGCGATTGTCGCTGCCATCCCGGCACATAGCTCAACCTTGTGGTTGTGCAGCCTCATCCGCGCTGGGGTTGCACTGCCGTTTCGTTCCGTGGTATTTCGCTGCGTCTCGTGGTGCTGGACGCCGGGTGATATACCTGTTTTGACCCTCGCGTGTGGATGACAAAGAGGCGTTGGACCTGTCGAGCGGTTCCAATAGAAGAGCCGCAACGCCGCCAGGTGGACAAGAGCCCGGCCCCGCACAGATACCTTGACGGTCTGGGGCCTGGCTTTCTCAACTGGACGCAGTGTGTCGCGGCCTACACGAGTCTACAAGCAAGTCCCCAAGGGTGGGTCTCTATGTGCAATCAAGTCCTGTTGCGAGGCAGCTGTTGTGTCCGGCTTCGCTCTTGTTCGCGTGCCCAAAGGGTCGAGGGTCCACTATAGTGGACGGGCCCTCGACCCCCGACAGGGCATTCTCGTGCCCTGGGCCCACTGTCTTCTGTTCATTTTCCAGCGTGCCGTCAGTTCTTGGGCTCTCAAACCAAGCGCATTTTCCACTGCCCGCGGTGGGCACGCCACGGCAGCACCGTGTTCCACCGGTGCCCTCTGGGGCTCGACAACTGCCGTGTTGAGGTGTAGTTCACCGAGTGAACAGGTGGCCAGTCGCTTTGAGTGTCGTTCGGCGCCGGCGGGGGAGGACAGCCAGGAGGGTCCGCACCCCGCGGCCTGAGCGAGGTTCAATCAGGACTTTCAGCAGGCGCTGTCACCCAGCAGCCCCGCGCCGCTGCTTGTGGATAGGGCTCGTTGCAGGTCTTCCACCAATGTAGTGGGCGACAATGCCGTTATCTACAAAGGCGGTCAAACCGTGATCCTGCAGCTCTGCGGGGCGTGCAGTGGATAGTCAACCCGCCGTCAGGGCAATGCCCAAAGTCCCACGCTGAATTGTTTTCCTTACTGTTCACCCACGAATGAACGTTCAGGGGATTCACGCTGTGTGTCAATCCAACCTGTAAAATCGTTCACCGTCATCTCAATGCCGCTCTGTATTGCCCTTGGATTTAGCATGACGCCCATCATACCACGATTTCCTCCTGTGTGGATAAGGACAAGGACAATGGCCAAGATTGTGATGCAGGAGCAATGTGAGCAACGCTGTGAACAGATTACCTTTTTTCTTTTAGCGAATTTTGATTTTCTAAAATAGGGTCCATGGTTCGCAACTTGTCTGTTGACTGGACATGGCTCTGCCTAGACTGGTGAACACTGGCAGCCATGTTTTCGTGCCACTGTTGCATAGGTGCACACATCCTTCTGTGTTGACGCCCAGTGCTGAGCACTGGCTGATGTTACAGTCAAACTACCAGCATCCTGGCGTGGTTGGAATGCACAGAATGCGTGCTGTTGAACCACAGTCCTAAAAGAACGAGTGGAGGAGAGACGGTACGAGCCATCAAAATTATATAGACTCTGTGACGTCCTTGATTGTCAACAAGCCTAAAGAGACAGGAAACAATAGTTGGATTCCTGTTGCCTTGATAACGAAGTTTGATATGGAACACTAAGAAAGTTCGCAATTAGGAGATAAGCCAATGGTGTGGTACAGATTATAACACTTATTGCAACCAGCAACCAAGGAGCCATGTTAACTTGCACCGATTCTGTGCTCAAAACCATATACATGGGAAAGAGCTCCCAAACATGCATGCACTCTGTATCAATCTACATGCATCCCATCTAGTGCACAATGTGTTTCAACAACTTGAAATTCTCCAGTCCCGTTGGCCAAGGCAATGCTATTGATGCAGAGTCCTGTGTACAGATTCAACAGGAGGGTATGGAAGGTCAGGATCCATCGAAGAAGGGCAGTTTTGCAGGGCGATTCTTCAAGAAACTGACAAGAAAGAATGGCAGAGGTCGCCCAGGCTCCCCAACTGGTGGAAGCGATGCTCCAGGAATGGTGAGAGTAGAATGTGTGTAAGTTCTGAAGAGCCCGAGCTGGGGTAAATCAGATAGTGCTACAGGGGCATTAGACTTACATGTGCTTGCTGACATGATGCGTGCCCTGCCACAAGATTTCATGGCCAGCTTGCGTCTGCTTCTATTGTAATCCCGGCATCAAAAACTTTGTCTTTACCATATATAGTGGATGCCTGCTGTAGACAGCTGTTGGGACAGGAAAAGTCCAAGCTTATATTGTTGCCCACTTCTTGGGATGTGCAATGTACTGCAGGAATGGACCTGGATATGGTACTTTTTAAACTGATGTTGATTTCTGTGCCATTTGCTTCCAGCAGGGTTCTGAAGCTGGCACAAGCGAATGCTCATTTTTGGAAAATGAAGATTCTCCATTTGCAAAAGGGCTTGTGGGCCCAGGGATTCCAGTGAGACCAGCCAACAGGAGGGCCGATGAGGACCTCCCGCGGGGCCCATCTGTCGCAATTGATGACAATCCTGAACTGCAGGAGGGCTCAATGAACTTGGGTGCTGTACCCTCAGGGGATGTGCAGCTAAGGGAAGGTAATTCAGATATTTGTACACTATTGAGGCTTGCAATGCTGGCCTGTGCTCTGTGTCACGTGGGCTGTCTTCACATTACTACCATTGCAGAGATTGCTGTTCTGACTGGAGCTTGTCTTGGAGCTTGGTCTCACCACAATTATGCTTTGTTTCCTGTACAAGTGTGTACGTAGCTTTGCGGTTGCAGAGTTGTCAAGCGCAGTGCACTTGTGTTCAAACTGTGCAGATCTGAAGTGAATATCCCTCTCAAAACAATGTTGCACTGGTTGACAGATATGCGACGGTACACTTCAGAGAGAAAATCTGGATCCAATGAAGAAAATTCTGAAGAGTGTGAAGAGATAGACCTGCAACCCTCAGTAAACGAGGACAATGCCATCGGCGAATTGGTGGCTGCCTACTCAGGACAAATGGGTGACTTGTTTAAACAGATCCAGGGCAAGCAAAAATGCCCAGTCGGCCCAGATGATGGTAGTGGCCTGTCAGAGCTCAACCAAATTAATAGGGACGCAACTTTGTCGATGGGGTTGGACCCTGCAGATGCGGTAAGTTGCCAAATTGCATTGGTCGACTACTGCTTTTTGCATGCAATGTTGTAATCCCAGGACTCAATGTGCTCCCAGCACACCCACACTCACTGCTGCATTTCAGTTGCCTTGTGGAATTGCATATTGTTGCTGCTGTTTGCTTTTCTTGCACATGATCTGCAGATGGGTTGGGGGAGTTATTCTCTTGCTGATGTTCATGATTTGGTGTGCAGGATGGTGTGACTCCTCTGTTCGCAGCAGTTGTGAACTCGCATCTTGAGGTTGCCCAAGTTCTGACAGATCTCGGGGCAGAAGTGAACCGTGGAAACAAACAAGTATGGCATGTGGTTGATTATGTGTGCCATGTTCTCTGTACGGAGAAATAGCAAATGAATGTATATCAGCAGAGTATGACTGGCTTGTGGGCATCCTCCATGACTGTTGTTGTGTGGCAGTGAGCTGTGCTGTTCATGTTTCTGTACCTTTATTAGTGTGTATTACTGTTTGGTGAATTGATGATGCATTGGACAGTGTTTCAACTGCTCCACGACTTTCCATACAGACGTGCAATCTCCATAGATGCTGACATCAGCAGTTTATTCATGACTTGTTCAGTTGGCTTGTAGGATACCCTGTTGCACATGTCAAGCAATAACGGTTCAAAATATGCCTGTTCCAACAGAACGGCCATCGTCCTCTGCATCTTGCTTGCAATCTTGGCAATTTGGAGATGGCCAGGCTTCTTGTGCTGAAATCTGGTGCAGATATTTCTGCCACGGACAAAGTAAGTACAACAACAGCACTTCAGAGTGTGGTTGCTGGTGATTAACTTTGAAGTTGTGAAGCTGCCCAATTGCTTGGGATGGGTTTTTGTGGGCAATCATGTCAACTTGCTGTGTTTCTTTTCTTAAGGTGTGGGTTCTATGAGTTGGAAGCACAATGAATATTGTCATTCTGGACACCCTTCTTGTCATGCTGTTTTGTTGACACATCGTTATCACTGATGCTTTCACAGACTAGACTGGACGATGGCAGTTGTCCATTCTTGGAGGATCGACTTCATTGCTTAATGTATGTGTATTCACGATTGTTGATGTTTTGAGAGATTTGTTTCTCAATTCCCACACTGAAATCATGAGAAAACAAGGAGAAACCATCACCGATATCACCTAGCACTCAAAATGAATGGTTTTGCTGGATCCTCAACACATGCATTGGTTGGGAAAAGTCAAGGAATGACATATGTTGCTGTGGATCATGCTGCAGAAATCCTGGACCCCACTCATGTTTGCAGTGCAGGGAGAGAATGTCGAAGTGGTCAAGTTCTTATTAGAATGTGGTGCTGATGTCAATGCCAGGGGAAAGGTGAGCTCCACAGCAGGGGATGGCCACACTCATTGGCATTGACAACAGTATGGATGTCTTTTAACACCAGGGTATGTGTTGACCATCTGCAGGGAAATGTAACTGCACTGATGATTGGGGTACGTTCAAATTCCAAAGAAATGGTGGAGACACTGGCAGAGGCCGGTGCAGAGATTGATGCCCATGATGAGGTACAGTCTGTCTTTCATATTTGGATTCAAGTTGTGCTTGTTCCATTTTTTGCAGACAACAGTTTCCATCTATTGTCGAGATGGACTTGTTTGTGTGTTGGTGCTCATATTTGGCAATGGTGTGGCTGGATAGGATGGGTGGTCTGCGTTGCATTTCGCTGCCAAAGAGGATGTACCTGTGGCTGTGCTGGCACTCATTCAAGCTGGTGCAGATGTTGATGCACGTGACCAGGTGAGTCACTTTGTCAAGTGAGGGTGCATGTGACATATGCAAGAGGGTTGGTCCATGCATGTGAATTTGTTGTTCCAATACCTTTTGGGGGCTGGTCACACACTTCTTGGTGTGTGGTTGCCAGGACAGCAAGTGTCATAAGTCCATGCATGTGCTTCTGTGATTTGTGGTATCCTTGCTGACCTTGGCATATTTATTTGGCTACCTATAACCGTTCATCGTTCCTGAGGAATTGCACAATTGCACAGAGCATAAGTAAAGAATGGATCCGGGGCTGTGGCTTTGGAAAAACTGCCATGTGAGTGGATTTTGTCAGTTTAATAGGATGTCCATCAATACACTGACCAATGAATTGCAAATATAGCATCTTTATGTGCATGTGTTTTCTTGTAAGTCGGTGGGCATGCATGTACAATATGTTTGCTTGTGTCACTTTCCTATGCTAATGTATCGCCAAACTGTGTGGAACTTATTACTTCTTCTGTCCGGATTTAAATGAAACAATATGTTGATTGACCACATTTTTATCATGTACTTTTTGTTTTTCCTTCAAAAGTGGACCAGTGCATCAACTGTCTGTTTAGTCAATGCCATCAAAAATTTATTGACAGAAAATAAGATTCAGACATATGGCAGTACTTTGAAGCCAAACGACTCAGCACCCAAATATGAACATTCGCAGTCAGTCCCCCACCCCACCAAAACCTAGCGCTCTGGACCCAGGAAGGCGCGGCGCATGAGTGATGCCCTTTCCAGTGGTCTTCAAAGTATCAGAAGGGTGGAGTTGCCTCAGTGCTCGGGCTCTAGCCCGACACCCTTTGCAATGCACGATCGACAGAATTGGCACCTAAGTCTGCGTACCGCCATCGATGGATGCTTGAAATCCCCCCCCATCTTCCACAGCAGCACACCGACATACCTGGGATCCCCCACTGCCTAGAATTCTCCTGGTGGCTAAAGACTAGTTGCAGAATATTTGCGCGCAACATAAGCTCTGTGTTTAGCACAGATCTCCGATTAAGTGCCTTCCTGATGCAAGCAACCCCTCTTTCCAAACAGGCTTGAACGCTGCCAAACATGACAATGGAAGATTTGGATGCTGTATCGGAGACCCCAGGTGTTGCTGTGGTGGCGCTCTTGCATCTTGCAATGGCATGGGCGAAGCTCAGTTGCAGCGGTGCCCTTGAAAGTGGCATGAATGGACCGCAAAGTGTTTCTTGCAGCACGTGCCCACCACAGCCAGTTTCAACGATCTTCTGGCTGCCACACAGCGAGGGCACCATCACATTATCCCAAACCCTTCGTGGTAGTTTTAGCACCCATGCCGTCCTCGCCCATGGTGGGGGCCCTTTCTGCAAACGCCGTGATTGTGAGGTTCGCAGATTTCTGGGTCTCCGATCCGGAGCTGCTGTCCATCAAAACCATGGTGGCGATCGAATCGAGCAGTACAGAAACCGGTTTTGTGGTCTTCCCCCTTTGGTAGGAACGGCGCCAACCTGGCACCAAGACGGCAGCAACAGATATTCACTCTCGGCTGCACACCGTCAGTTGCAAGGCGACCTGGTCAAGGACCGTTTTGAGGGCTGTTCGGCCAGACATTGAGAAACCTCGACTTTTTGGCCTGAGTCACAAGGGTTCAAAGTACTGCCATGTGGCCAGTACTTATCCATTGTTCACAAAAATTTGGCAGCGCATAGCAAATATGTAGGTAGTGCATTGCTCGAATTTCGAAGGAAAACTGACAAGTTCATGATACATATATAGCCTCTTAAACAAACTGTTTCATTTGCGGACGGAAGAAGTATATTGTTGTCTAGTTGGAGCAACACATTGTCTGTGTGAGTTGCATTGGAAGGATCTCAAATTTGTGTGTTGTGGATGTAGCAGCGCCAACTGACGCCTCTGCATGTCGCCTCTGACCGTGGAATATATTCCACAATGAAAATTCTTTTGGAGCATGGCGCTGCAGTGAATGCTGTCAGTGAGGTAATGTTCTGACATGATACATTTTGATACTCCAAGAGTTCAAGAAGGTTGTTTGGTGCAGATTCTAATCGATGCTGGGGTCAGGTGCAGGCTCATTAGCCAACACAAGCAGCTCCTGGACTGGACAGCTCCACATCATGGGTTATCTGATGCTGAACTGATGAAGGTGGCCGGGTCATGCCAGAAAGTGTTGGTGATGACTATGATGTTGTGCCATGATCAGGCTGGTGCCACACCCATGATCGAAGTCCTGGGTGGATGCAAGACAGAACTGGTGAGACTACTGCTTGACCATGGGGCAAACATTGATGTGAAGAACGACAGGGTGAGTGGGACAGAGCCTGTGGTTGTGGCAGGTATTTTATGGCACATGGTACTGTTACTCATGCTAGCTGGTAATGCGTATGTATCATGCCATTGGAAGCTGCGATGAGTTGAATTCCACGTGTAGCTGACAGTTATAAGGCTTCTTTGTCAATCAGAATGGAGTCACATCGTTGATGGCAGCTGCGATGAAGCAAAACCATGATGTGATGGAGTGGTGCATAGCTGCAGGATGCAACATTGAGGCTGCAGACAAGGTAGGATGCAAAGGCTGTATCACTAGAGAATGGCAGTTCCCGTCAAGGGGTTTCATACAGTGAGTTGGGGAGCTCAACACATTGGGCACCACAGGGTGAGCGATGTGCATGTGCAATGACAATTGGCTGATACCTGTCATTTCTGGATGTGAAGGTCATGAAAGGTATTAGTGGCCTAAGAAAACAAAGTCATGAACACCCTGAACCCGAAAATGACCTTCATGAATTTCATGACCATAAGGACTCCATGTATCAGGGTATCAGAGAGCTGTAGGCACAACCAAACGTTAGGGTCCTGTAAACCTGTCATCTTGATTTTAATAAGATATGAGCTGTCCTGTTGGCAGGACGAACAAAGAGCGATGCATCATGCAGCACGTCATGGTGCAATTGAATGTGTGGATGTTCTGCTGAGAGCTGGAGCAGATATCAATGCATTGGCCAAGGTGAGGACCTATCATGCAGATTTGCTGCCCAGTTGTGCAACATTGCTGGCGCTGCAACGAGCCAATGGCATCTGTGCAGACTGTGAACGATGAAACGATGAAAGTATAAAATGTGTGGTTGGCATTCTTCTGGAATGACAGTGACAGTGCCAATGTACAGGGAGAGGGTGTCCTGATATTTGCAGTACGGGGTGGCCACTACGATGTTGCCCGCATGCTCATGGAACGGGGAGCAGAGTTGAACAGCAGCCCCAAGGTGTGAACACTGCCTGGTCTTTACTGCCCTTTCGGTTTCCTGCATTCTGTCTCCTGTGTCCTTGCAAATTAAAATTCCACGATCCCCACAGAATTTGAACAGAAGAGGTTGGATGGTCAGTCAATAAAATATGGGCTTGAACAATTCGTAGGTTGTGTAACTCTTGTTCTCTGTTCCTGCCAGCTACTTTTTGGAATTCGCAGAGCGCAAAAATGGATGACTGTCTGTGCAGAATTTCATGCCTTGCTCATTCAATTGCGTGCTGGATGCGGTGGTTTGGCTCTGGATTTGAATGCCTTTTGTTCCTGACCTTAGAAGTCTTATAGGTTCAACGATGTTTGGTGGGAAATGTGATTGAAACAGTATTGCCTGCCTGTTTGACGCATATTCAAAGACTTAGGTGCAGATGAGCATCCATTCTGGCTTCACAAAGGGTTCCAAAATGCACATTGGACTCATTTGCTGCTTGCTGTCCAGTAGTACAATGCTCTGTGGATGATACCATTTGCAGGTTGTGTGGTACACCTCCCAGACAGATCTATGGTTGGTCGCTTCAAGGTTTTCTCCAGCACAAAGGTTTGGCATGCGATTTCACCAGCATGATGGACTGTTCACACATTTCACGTGCTAAACACCAGCGATGTTGTTGTTCAAAATGCATGCGCCATGCAATTTTGTAGTGCTTTATACTAATGACTTCAAGGTATGCTCTCAGGACGATCCCAGGATAACACTTGTGCATGCACTGGCCATTGGAACCAGCCCAAGTGCTGAGGTTGACGTGGAGCTCCTCAAAGAAGTCTTGGTGAAAGGGGCAGATATAAATGCAGCAGATGAGGTGGGCATTTCTGGTCTGTCCTTTTGGCATCGATACAACAGTGACAGAATATTTCATTCCAACAGTATGCGCATCGTCCTGCACCATTTTGGATGCGTGTCTATGGAAGGCAGTCACATACGCACAAGATACATTTTTGGCTTTGGTGTGTGCACCATGGCTTTCGATCTCATAGTTGCCAGCAGTGACCCTTTTGTGTGCAAAGCGGTAGGGCCCAACTCACTCTTGCTAGGATGGGTGTGCTCCTTTGTATGACTGTGGTGTCCTGGGATTGTAGCTAGTCTTGAGACACACACAGACACACATATCTCTTTGGCTCAATATGTCTTCATGCACTGAGGTGGCACTGAGGTGGGGCCAATCATCAGGCAATCTAAAATTTTCCTTGCTAGTTCTTGCCACAAGACCCGAAAAGGGCTGCAACTCCAAAGGGGCCTGAATCCATGTGTGTTGTTTGTTAGCATACACCATGTACACATTTGCACCCAACCTTCACCTGTGGTGTGTGGGTTGCTTGTGATGCCGAAGGTACTTCATTATTGTAAGCTCTGTGTGCCTGTTCAGCATGGAAATACTGCTCTCCATCTTGCTGCAATAGTCGGGAAAGAAGCATCTGTGCTGGAACTGGTGCGGAGTGGAGCGAAGCTGGATGAAAGGAATCAGGTGGTGAATCATCCCATGCATGGAACCTCACCCTTTCATTTGTTCTTTGTGGGGAAGGTCACAACCACCACTCTTGCAATGAATTGCTGAGTGGTTGTTTTCATGGAGTCATTGTGGGCATGGACTCTTGACTGAGAGGCGATGGTGCTGGTGGGCATTTATTTCGTTCTCAACAATCCATCAGCTACCATACTGTTATCAATGATGTGCATCTGGAACGATGCAAGTTCTAAATGTAATCTCATTTTGTGCACAACAGGAAATGTTGCGTTCTTGTCATACCAATTGTTATACTGTGTGGCACAGTCGATGCTGAGCCCTACTGATTTGATGTACGCGCAAAGCTGATAATGCAAGTACATTTCATGGCACTACATTTGCATTCATTGTGATTGCATTGTGACTCATATTTTGATTGGCAGGATGGGCGAACGCCACTGAACTGTGTTTGCATTGAGGGCCATTTGTCAATCATAAAGATTCTTGTGGACGCCAGAGCAAACGTGGGATGCAAAGCACACGTAAGTTGCCAATTGGTTAGCAGGAATATGCTGCCGGAAATGGTGCATTTTATAACCATAGACAACCTGCAGCACGAAGAGCCATCGCACGGTCTGCAGAGCATACCACAGAGTGCTGTGTTTGATATGCTATGTTCCAAAAGACTAGGCAGCTCTCAGGGTGAGTGCATTACCAAAACAACTACTGCAGCAGCAAATGCGGCCATGTGCTGAAGTCTGTGTGTTGTTGATGGTGCTAGACTGGAATTCCTCCTAAAAGCTTATCAAGCCAGCCACTTTGGATGCAACATCATGCAGATGTTTTCTACTTTGACGGCTGTGGAAATGTATTGTCTGCACCCAAAGAACCTGTTTGGGGATCACTTTACCAAATCACACAGAAACAACTATTGGCGCCATATGCCTGTGGACAGTCATGCTGCCAATCGTTTGGAACAAGGGCAGCACACTGTTGCAGTCCTGAACAAACTTTAGCTATGTGAATAGAAGCATCTGCATGTGCGGCTACATGACTGCTGCAGTACAGAATGTCCAATGTGCATGGCTGTTGACTGGCCAAGAAACAACTGGGGCGTGCAAGGTAGACAGCTGCATTTCCAAACAATGCCGCTATCTACAAAGGGTCTGTGTGTAGATGGTGCAGATTGAGCTCACAGTGAACTGATGAGGGTGGCAACGGTCATGAATGTTGCTGCTTTGTCTCTGTCTTGATAGGACTTTACTGACAAATATTGACTGAGATCAAAAGAGAGAGTATCCATGGGACCATGAAGGGCTTCAGAGGCAATTCACTGCATCATGGATGACATCGGGCAGTCTGTACCATATCACAATATGAATGTTGAACATTGACTCTAGAAGCTGATTAAGTACTTTGTTGATGCAGAACGGTTCAACCCCACTGTATATCTGTGCAGAGAAGGGGCATCTGGATGCAGCCAGATACCTTTTGGACAATGGGGCAGCTGTTGATGACACAGACATGGTGCGGGATTTCCGGTGCTGTGCCATAACCAGGCTTTCAGAGTTGTCTATATTATTCCTGGCGTTATAGGATTGTGGCTAGTGTGTTATTCAATGTGTGAGCATCATATCCCAGTTGCACAAGGGATGGTCCAACATCCCAGAATCAAGAAAATTTGGGCCTGTAAAGCTAAAGGTTGATTCCATCAGAATTGGCGTGTGCAAATATTCTCGATTTGTGTGTGTTTGGTGTGTCAGGTGTTGGATCCAGAGTGGAAATAATGATATGTCATACCAGTGGCGTTGAGATTGGGTTTCACAAGATTGGCAGAGGCTCAAATGCAATTCGATTAACATACTGTTGTACTCCACAGGCTCAGCGCACAGCACTTTGGGTGGCAGCTATATTTTCCCACAAAGACATTGTGAATTTGTTACTGTCGAGGGGAGCAGATGCAACAGCAGCAAGGGAGGTATGCAATGCAAAAGGGCAATCATGGAGCAGCACTCTGAAATTCTGCTAAATTTCAGATGTGAGAAGAGTAAACTATCCAGTGTCTGCGTTTATGCTGCAACGCAGAGTTATTGAGCTAGTATCCATGCTGCTCATGACCAGCTCATGTTGTGCTTTTTTACTGTGAATAATGTGCATCCAGTCATTCAGGTCGAGGTCTGGTCTGTGAGTTGCATGTTTGTTGTGGTTCGTGTGGCTAAATTCCACAAGATGTGTGCAGCAATTTGCTATGCAGTAACGATTCCCGCAGCCCACCATTTTCTTGTCACACATTTGCTGCGGGCCCTGGCGATGTTGATGGAAGAAACCTTGCAACTTGATGTACATGACGAGTTAAAAATGCACACCAGGATGGCAGGACAGTCCTGTTCGCTGCTGTCATAGAGGGGGATGCAGAGATTGTGAAGCTGCTGGTGGAGCATGGTGCAGTCGTCAATCATCCTGGCGAGGTAAAGTTGGGTACCTGGGTATGTGTCTGTCTGTTCATAGGTTTCAGGGCGCTGTGCCTCGTTATTTTGCATCAATGACACTGCTCAACGACCCGACTTGTTGCTGATAATGATCACATTGTTCGTTCCTGGAATCTGTGCATTAGACTGGAAGTTATGTTCATTTGGATGTGCATTAGCTTTCCAAAGATCGCATATTCTGGCTTCTTGGGATGATACATACACCATCACTTCTGAAACTGCATTGTACTGCAGAAACACTTGACGCCGCTCAACGCTGCATGCAACAAGCGCCATTTAGAATGCGCCAGGGTGCTCTTGTCACATGGTGCAGATCCCCTTATCCTGTCAGAGGTATGTGAATGCAGTGCGATGTATGCACTGTTTGTGTCTTATCCACAGGCGCTTGCATGATTGTTGCATCTGCAGGTGTGTTTCTTTTCTCCTTGTTATGAAGAATAAATCCATTTTAGTTTTGCTGGTGGACTGAGCGAGTTGTGGCATCCACACATGCATGTGTCTGTAGATAGACAGTACCTTCTTTTCTTGAAATTTGACTTCCTTGTTCGCCATGTTGCAAGTGGCACTCCCACATGTTCTGCTACATCACCTTACTTTTGCTCCTGCTATTGCGGTCTGGTGGAATCTGTTCTCACAGTGTTTTAGTCCTTTTCATTGCAAATGAAAATATACATTGTGCATTGCAAGGAGATATTGCGCTATCTTTCCATTTGTTCGCTCCAGACGATGCTTGCTGCTCCATGCGTCTCCCTTCCACTGTGGAACATCTGCAGTGGCCTCAGAGTAGCTACCAGGTTGTAGATGCTTTCGCCGCCACAATGCCACTAATCCGTGAGTCATGGGATCGCGGTTGTGCAATTTCTCCCTTGGCTGGCTCGTACTTTATGCCATCGGCCCCCCGTTACTCTAATACCCATGACAAAACAAGAAGCATCCCATGGTCCATACATAGACCGCCCTTCTTCCTGCCTCGAACTAATGTGGCATCGTTCACACAAAACAAATCGACACAGTGCGTTCTGCAAGTTAGGAAAGACACTTCTGGATTTGGGTATGCTTAATGTCAAACTCATGCTGACCTCAGAGGCCCCCAACCCCCACCCACCTTTGCCCCTCCTCCTCAAGCGTCGTTCCTTGTGTTGAAGCCAGTATGACTCAACATATTCAGCATCTTCATCATTATCATCACTCAATTTTAGGGTAGCAATCAACACAGTCACTTGATAGACCATTGTGTTATCAAGACAAACTGGAGGAGGGCAAACAAGCAGAGTTGCAGCAATTGCAGATGGTTGAAAAATGGGATGGTGGAGGCCATGGCAGGCGATGGAAGCAGCCCCACAGGCTGTCATTTGGGGTAGTTGGGGTCTCCATAAAGGTTGAACATGGGGGTCAACATCTCCATCCGGCCAGTTGGTGCAGCCGCTTTCGTCCCAACTTCGACCTGATGGGAGTCATAATTCCGATTCCAACCATCGGAATCACAGTCAGACATAGATTGTTAGCTCCGGTATGATCGAAGTCGGGCTCTGACTGATGACACGATGGACAAAAAAGGTTGAAATGGTCGGAATTTGGAGCCTGATGGAGTCGGACGGATGGAGCCTTTTGCCAAAGTCGAACCCCAAGGTCGATATGTCCGACATCATAGACAGCATGATAGGGAACCGCAAATTCAAATGGGAAACAGCTTATTGAGTTGAACTCAACATGACGCATGATCTACCAAAGGAACGGAAGTACATTGTTGTACAGGGACCTCTGGAAAATCTGGAAAGAAACTGCCAAGAAGTTTGCACACACTGCGAGTCTACTTAGAACCACATCAGGATTTTTTGACCACAGGTCGAATGGAGTAAGTCAGACAGAGCATGGAATGACAACTCCGACTTCGACTGTTGGAATTAATTTGTTGATCAATCAGCTGGAGTCAGACAGAAAACGGCAAAACTTGGGGTCGAAGTCGGACGGAGAAGCCCCATCATGCTGCCAGTACAAAATGTCGGAATATAGGCCACCATCCCTGGGAGTCAGAGTGGGACGGTGTTCAGAAGTGTTTCACCCAAGGCGACCCTTGATTGAGCGTTTCAGGGAGTTTTGGAATAACTAATGACTAGCTGGCAATAATCAGCAGGGTTCTGCCTCTTTTCAGGTTATGTCGATTTGTGGCCATTACGTGATTTCTGAACATCACAGGTCTGAACCCGTGGCCCCTCTGCATCAAAATTGATGCTAAGAGTATCGAATTTGGCATTGTGCATTCCCTTATGACAGCCCAGATTCGTTTGCTGTGGTGAATGAAGATCTGGCTTAATGAGCAAAGGATGCCGGTCAAGTGGACCCCAACATCCTTCACAAGGCTACCAACTGTCAGACTTGATTGGGGGTCCAGGTCAGCTGTTTTGTTTGAGTATGGTGAAGGCATTGTGGACACGAATGGTGTGGCACAGAACTATGGCTTTTCGCACCTCCCATGAGAGTGCAAACTGTTTTCAGTGCTGGTGGTGGTCAACATAATTGCATGACATATCCAGCCAAGTCACACCATCGATCCTTGAATTTTAGCGCACAATCCATCAAATTTCACTGTTCGTGATAGTCTATCACGACCGCCACCAGAGCTGCTGCAGGATGGCCAGGTAGTTAAATTACAGGCTGCAAGATCGCAGATGTTTGGGCAATGAAGCTTAGGAAGCATCGAACATAGTTGCTTTTGAGTGGATCTGCCAAAATGCATTACTGGATTTCCTGCACTCTGGTGACATTTGCTAACATTCAATCTGTGTTAACAGAGCATAATGTGTAGAAAAGGCTTTGTTTTTGCATATTTCACGCTGCTGCATCATGTTGAATATTGATCCACATGGCACCTTCTCCCTGAGACTGTTGCCCATGCCACATCCACCACTCGTACCCTACCCATCATCCAGCTGTGTTGCGTGCATTCGCATTTCCCCATTTCCCACCCCCTCCTCCCCTCTCCTCTGCCCTGTCCACCATAGCAGTGGAGATGTCTCTTTTTGTGGCGACAAAAGGGTCTGGGGGACTTTGCTTGTGCGGTGTGACCTGTCACACGTAGCTGTTAGGATCTTGCCCACTGAAGCTGCACAGAATCTTCTAATGTGCGCTGGGTCATAGTGATCAGGCAGCCAGATCATTGGGCCTGGTAGGTGACTCATGGGGCGCTGAGAATGGGACTCAGGTAGTAGACGAATGGTAATTTGAGGACTGAGATTGAGATTACAAGTGTGTGACTTGCATCCTCCCTGGGGAGGGGAAGGTGGGGTGACCCTGCTGTTGTTTGGACTTGAGAACATGGTCTTCCTTTCTTGTGCTTGGTTTCTTGGGGACCTCAAACATCTAACATGCTTGCATGGGGTAAGTTTGGTGCCACCTCTGTTTCTTTTTCTACATGGGCACCTCCATTTGATTTTGTTTAGTATGTTGGGTTTGACCATCCCAATTTTGTCTTTGTCCCCTCTACATTGCTGCAAGGTAGAACAAGGGGTTGAGTTAGCTTGTTGTTGATCTGATCTAGGGTCTTTCTCATACCTATGAGCAGCTGTGGCTCATGTGATGTGTAATTCCCCAATTCACATATGCACACACACGTTTATTGTGGGGGAGAGTGGAAGGGCATCGAGCTTTTGAATATCAGGCACACACGCAGCATCGACAGGAAGTCGATGAGAAACGCTCCTACTTGAAAGATTTGGTAGGCAGATGGCTCCCCACAAGGGCAGCCAGACAGAAAGTTGACCGGATGTTCAAATAGGAACATATCCCCCTTCAGAATTGTGGAATGGAATTACATGTCACGAAAAGCTGGCTGAATCCCACATCCAAGGTGTGGCATTTTAGCATATTCACATTTACCAGGCCAACACCAAAGCACTACCAGCAATGTGATTGTGACAGATCTTGTCATTCTTCACTTGTTCCACTGTGTATGAGGGCTAAAATGATTTTCTTTCCACAGGATGGCGTATCACCATTGATGGCTGCCGTTGCCCATGAGGATCCTGACCTCGTGAGACTGTTGCTTGGTAGTGGCGCTAAGCCGGACGTTGGACAAAAGGTGCACAATGGTGTCAAACCAACAGGAAGACAACAGAGATTGAGAGGCTGTTTGTTGATGTTTGCTGAAAAGTATTCCTGTTGCAAACTCCCATTGCTGTGCAAGTAATATGGTTTTCAATAAGCAAAAACTGATTGGACCTGTGATCACTGCTTCTTAAAGTTTGTTTGTCTTCCTTGCAGGAAGTGAATGCTTTGTATACTGCAGTTGTCTCGGGCGACAGGGCAATTATACAGATGCTTCTGGATGCTGGAGCATCTGTGAACCTTCCTCAGAGGGTATGGCTATGAACTTGTTGTGTTGTTTCATTCTCACAGATTTTGGAGCCCTTGTTTGGAAATATTCGATGTATCAAACATAGACAGAATGTTTTCGGAAAGATGACAGTCTCCAATGCAATCAGTTTTAAATGTGATTATCCATTTGTATGATCAGCATTTGTGGCTGTGTTCATCGCAGAATGGCCGTACAGCTCTCTATGCAGCTGTCATTGGTGGTGATATGGACATTGTGCAGATGCTGCTGGATGCCAAGGCTGATGTTGATGCGAGAGCTGATGTGAGTGTCAGCACATGGTGTGGTTCTTTTGGATCTCTCTTTTGTGTTCATGCTATGCCGTGGTAGACTTCATTGTAATCATTTGTTGGTATTGAGTTTTTGAATTCAGTTTTGACAGTACACCTATGAGAAACTGGAGTGTGTCATTGTGCACCGTTTTTTTAGCTTCAATGATAGCTGTTATGTACATCAGATCAATGCAGGCATGTGCTAATTTTCGATTTCATGCATGCATGAACACCAGGATGGCACCACACCTTTGTATGTAGCTGCCAACAATCAACTCCCTGATATTGCAAAACTGCTCATCTCAAGAGGTGCAAAAGTGGATGCCATGTCAGAGGATGGAATGACGCCACTTCACACTGCAATACACCGATCTTGCCTTGAGTGCGTGGATCTTCTTTTGGAGGCTGGAGCAGACGTCACCTTGAGGGCAAAGGTAAGAGTTCTGGTGGCATTCTCTGATTGCCAATGCTGTCGAAGGGAGGAGTGTGGATTTTTGCATTGTGCTTTGAAAACGCAAGGACGGAGAGCCTGAAGAAAATACATAAGAAATCTGCAATTGCCAAAATCTATGAGTTGTTGCCAGTACAGAAGTCTTTCCTGACTGCATACTTGTTGGATTCTAAGGCTACGCCACAGGAGTGCTCAGATGTGTACCCCATACCCTGCTGTCATCTGCCGTGTCTTCCTGTGGGGATGCAACACGGAGATCTATGACACCAAAGAAGTCGGAAGCTAAGGGGACTTGTCAATGTTGCACCTTCAGGATATCTTTGTTCATACAGTAGAATGAAAGCAGGGTGCATGGAGAGTATCTTTTGTTGCCGTCTGAATACATTGAGCGGGGTGGAGTGGGCCTTTGCACCAACTCTAACCTGTGTAGCAGAGCCTTTTGGCACCAGAAGCCAAGGATCCTGCAGAAGGATGCTCATGTTCAAAGCAGCTGTGTCACCCTTTGCAAGACTTGCCCAAGGCATTTGCACTCTACCCAACAATTCTAGGCACCCATCTTATGATAAGACGCATTGCAGATGTTGAAACTTTCATGTCATGACAGGTTGTGGTCATGGTAGAATGTGCTTGAGCAGGTGGCACTCCAGCATAATGTTCAGGCTGTGGCTGCAGTCACCTCCAGCGCATTGACTGGCATTCTCAGCATGCAAGGCAAATGCAGTGCAAGCTCTTTAATCTTCTGTGCAGATCTCTGTTTATGTGAATAACCTACATTGGAGTTTGTAGATGAGGCAGCACAGTGGGCAACGCTGAAAACGCACACTTTCCTTGACGCTAGTGTGTGGCCGTCTATTCCAGAAAACTATTCCTCCAACCTGCCTGGCTGCCATGGCCAACGCACCTGGTGCCGCTGATTCGCTGATACGAGCTGGAGCAGACGTGAATGCTGTTGACGATGTAGGTGGACAAATTTTTTACAATGTTGGATTTCCTGCAGGTTTTTGGAGTGAATTGCATTGTATTGTAGTCCCCCCTCATTGTTGTATCCTAGCCAACGCAGATTTTCTGTGACTACATATCACAACAAGAGCAATCCATGGCACAATATTGATGCCAGGCTCAGCTTAGTCACCAACCTGAGTTGCGAAAGCTCACCATGCCTTGATATCCAAGTTTTGATTGTTGGCATGGGAAATTTTGCCCCCAAGTCTATGTTGTCATGTACTGGGGCCAATAGAGGTCAATGTTTGCACTCTCAAACCGAGCTGGGTGCCAATGTCGTAATGAAAATAAACACATTGTGATGAAATCTTTGCTGGGAAGCAATAGGGGCCCTGGCTGCTTTAGGCAGTCCAAGAACTTGCCATGCTCCCCGACTAGGTGCTGGAGTAAAGAATCCTCATCATAATTGTACCGATGTCAATTTGCGATGACTGAAAGACGACCTAGACAGCGATCTGGAGAAGACCTGCACTTGCAATGGCCAATTGATGCGTCCCAGGGAGTGTAAGAAACAACATCAACATGAGAACAGCACCCTGGAGTTGAGCTTCCAAAAGTTGAGGGGATTGAGAGCATGCCGATGATGTATGAATGCGGATGTGAACGCTCGAGATTTGTCGGATCCAGAAGTCATCAGTTCTTTTCAGCAGCAAGAGCCTCTCTGTTGGCGATGTGTCAGTCTCGGTTGTTGTTGGTTGTGCTGGAATGATATAATGTCAGCACTGCCCAGCTGCTGTGGAACGACTGCTAAGTATACCTGACATGTTGTCCTCAGGATGGCGACAGTGCATTGTACCTCTCTGCTATACAAGGTTATGAGGAGGTGGTGCATCTTCTCCTGGACGCGGATGCGGACATGCACAGATACAATGACAAAGGCGCACTGGCAATCCACGTCGCTGCACAAAATGGCCACGAAGGCGTCGTGCAGCTGCTGATTGATGCAGGCTGCAACTTACGCAAAAGGACAAAAGACGGCCGTGTGGCACTGCACTTAGCGGCGCAGAATGGACATGCAGATGTGGTCAAGATCATGGGTGAGGCAATGCAAAAAGGGCCACAGTCTGTGACTGTAGATGAGTCGGATGAAACAGGGGAGATAGGGGGATCGATGGCAGACAGCAGCTCCGGAGAAGAGCAGGTGAGATTGGGCAGTAGCGGCGAAAATTGCAGCCTGCAATTGTACATCACGTGAATATGATGGTGTTTGTTGGATGTGATTAGAGTGCGCTATGTTCGCAAACTTAACAAGTGTTTGTCTCTTTTCGCAGGATGTTGGAGATGGCACAATCCCAAAGCATTTCCTGTGTCCCATCACGCTCACGATTATGGTCGACCCAGTCACTGCTACTGATGGTCATACCTATGAAAGGGAAGCCATCACCAAATGGATTAGAAGCCGTGGAAAGTCACCCATCACCAAGAAACCGATGTCCAGCGCTTCGCTTGTCCCCAACTACAATCTGAAATCTCAGATCGAAGAGTATTTGAGGAGAGCAGAGAAGGGGCAGGGCGAACAATGACAGGGCAAGGATGCAGGTATTCGCTTGTAGCAGGGTTTGCATTGGGAAGGAGGCTGCAGTGTCTACCCGATTGTGCGCCTGGGGGAGAGAGTTTGTGCTAATGGTGTTCTGGCCCAACAAAAGGCCCCGTCAGCATGTTGCTGCATATACTCTGCCGGAACACATGAACAGGGCAACCGAACCATGACGATAGGGGTGGGATAGCTCACAGGACGGAGATGAACACCAATCCTCCAACACGTTCTGCGCCAGGCTGCATCTTGGCGTTCTGATGTCTGGTTTAAGTGTGCTCAGGAGGCTAGAAAACTTAGGCGTCATGCTGTTTTTCCGCTCAACAGCTTGTCCTAGTGACGCGATTCGTGGTTTGCACTGTTCCGCAAATTTTTGGATTCGTTGAAATGCTAAGCCCATCCCTCGAAAACGGCGCAATATCTCATAAGAACGAAATGCATCTGAGATTGGATGAGTCGAAAATCTCCTCTTCCTTCATCCTAGATGTGACGTATCGACAGAAATGATTTATGTTTTGATCCCGGCTGGCACAGAATACTGTTAACCCCTTCACTACGCTTCTCATCCGTTTCCGACGAAGATTGCAATGCATCCATTTGATAAACACCCCTCTGCGATTCTGATAATCGGGTTGAACATTCCATGCTGCACTCCCAGTATATTTGTCATTAGTCCACACTGGTTTTCACAACGCCCGCCACCAGCACATGTTGTGAGGCGAAACATCACAACAACCCCCTTATGGCCGCCATGGATAACTGGGCATTCCGCACTCAATAGCTTGCGCAGTGCCCTTCCTATAACAGCAATCTAGGCGTTGCACAATGTGCATGTGAGGGTCACGCTTTTACTCAGTGCATTTGCGCGTCCCTTGGATGCACTGTTGCTCCAAAATATCAACAGTGAATACTCTGGTGTGCGCAGAATCATGAATTTCTGCTCCTTCCGAATTCCTAGCTGCTGCACACGCAGCCGCAACGACAGCAACGGCTGCGGCATCCGTGATGCGGCCATCCTCTATTGTATCTGAGTTGCTGTGGAAATAGCCTTCCAAGCTTGCTGTATCCTCATTCGCGCTTATCTCCTGAAGAGCGGGTTCTGGGGAAAAGTGTCCGGCCCCCAATTGCTTTGCTCTACTTTGGCAGCCCTGGGGCCTTCCAACAGACAATCCAGTTAAAACGTTTTCCGAAGCAGATTGCCTCTTGTCCCCAGATTTGGAATCACATGACAAAAATCTAGGCTTGGCGAATACAGTATGACTAGATGCTCCTTCCACCCCTTCTTTAAGCACATCTTCGAAAGTGTCCCTTTTTGTTACTGCTGGAGGGATGCCAGGAGAAAATGAAATTGGACTTGTAGATTCCTCTGCAAAGGCGTTCATGAGCTCACCGTCAAAGATGTCATTCAACATGAAATTGTTGAAACTTGAGTGGTCCGGCGGGCTTTGAACAAAATCAGGCTGAGAACTGTGGCGGCCCATGCGATGGCCATTTCTGGGAGATCTCACTTGAGCATCCAATGATTGTCGACCAGTGTCCAGGAACACGGCGTCCTGCACATCGTCATCAACCTTCAGCACTCCTCTATCCACAAGCTCGCGATGCTGCTCCTCAATCAGCCTTTCAAGTTCTGTCAAGGATGCCAATGAGCTGCACACCGGTGTGTCCGCACGTGAGCATTGTCGGTTGATTTCTTCGTCGAGCACCCCGCTGCCTGCACGAGTACTGTATCCTTCAATTTCGCTTCTTCCTCGAGCAGATCCAGAAAAGCTTGGTACAGAAGAGGAATTCGACGAATCGCCAGAGATTTTGGTGGTAGCGACGCCAAGCGGATGCCGGTTCATCTTTGTGCTCCCGTGTGACATCGTGGATTGAATTCTTTCGCCCCCAGACGTGCCGCTGATACTGTCCGAGGGCATGTTTCTGTTGTGGCATGACAGATCAGCGGCGGCGGAGCGGTGCACGTCTTGGGCGACGGCCGACAGGTCCGTTGTGCATGTCGAACCTGCATCTAACACACAATAGGCAATGGCAATGCTGCCTTTTTGTTTACACGAAATCGCCTGAGCAGAAAGCTGCCATTTCGCTGGAAGACACAACCAGCAAAAACATGCTGCTCATCAAGCCAGTCAGTGCCGCAGTAGTTCCGCGAGTCCCCCTGGCCCAAAGTGAAGTTTAGGAAATTGGCTCGCAACTGGCGCTTACAACTTCAACTGTCAAGTCAGAAAAGTAGGACTCCAGCAATCAATGCGTACCAGTTTGATGAATGTTTGCACAAACTGTCGGCGAGCTATCCCTGTGGGGATGTCTGTCCCCAGCGACACAGTTGGAAAGGGACGTTTTAGCTTCAGAAGTGCCTTCCTCACCAACTTCCTGCTCGCCATGGGTTTCATGATTTGAAGACGGACATCCTGCAGAGCTCCCTGCGCAAAATGCGACTCAAACATTACGATCAGTCACTTCAGGCTATCTTTCAAAGCAAACATTCGAATGGCGCCACGTCCCTCAAAGAGGATTCGAATGCGCTATCTGAATGCAAACCAAAGTGAAGATATGCATTGGAAAGTCGTGCGGCACCATAGCCATGCAAGACCCTCAAGGAACGGAAGGTTCTCTAACAGAATCTTCAATTGGGATATCTTTGTGCGCAATTATCGCAACCCACATGCAATATAAGATACAGTCCCGACAGTTTCCGGACATCATGGATTCGTTGCCCACATTTGTGGAGAAAGTGCTTCTGGTCTGGGTTTCACTGCGTCGCTAACGTTCAGCCAGAGAATGCAATGATCCTCTTCCTTTTGTGTTCAGCATAGTCAATATAAACGTGGATGAGGTCCGTGGTAGTAGCCAGAACAATTTCGATTGCCAATTCCAGCACAGTCTTATTTATCTTCCTTGTAGGGGACTATGTAATCCTTAAATTCCAAAATATACTCTAGTGGCATGCATGCAGACAGCACTGCACTGCCACATTGTGACTTGGGGAGATTGTGATTTGCGTGAGAAACGCATGTCCTACATTACGCACTAAGTTTTCTGGACTCTCCCACCTGGCCTATATCGAATAATTTCTGCTTTCCTCCTCCTTGTTGTCTTCTTCTGAGCAGGTAGCTTGCATGTGTCACATCTCCGATCTTGCCGATGAGTGCCGCACATCTCCTGCCCTGAAGCGCTTTTGAGTGCGCTTTGGGACTTGTCTTCCACATTGCATTCTTGAGGAATGGTGCAAAAAATGTTCCTTATCTTTGGTGCTGTCGAATTGCAAGGCCTTCCAGCGCATCTAGATTCCATGTGTCTGGACGACCCCGTGGCCTCATGCCAATGAGCAACTTCATCTGTCTGAACTTCAGCATGACAGAGCGTTTGGCATTGTGCGTCTTTCAAATCATTCCAGTTTGTCTTTTCGATATTCTTTGGAGAAACTCCTTTTTTGGCGCAACGCGATGGCTGCTTGCACCTGCAGTTTCCCTGAATCCTGTCCTGGTGCATTGTCCCAGTGGAAAGTCGCTTATGTGCGTTCAAGCATTTCCATGGGATACAGGGCAGTGCACGTTTATGACAGCCATTTATGTCGATGAGAGCAGGGGAAGAATTGCATGAATAACACTGATGGATTTCCTCATCTCCACGATCTGAAGTATCATCGCATTCAACTTTTCCAAACAAGTCTGGTGAGTTTAATTTCAGCCTTGTGTTGGATAGGCTTCCGCTACGGAGACGGCAGTTGGTGTCTGTTTCTTGGCACGGTGCTCTGTTGAGCCGAACATGCGCACCAGTATGCCCCATCCTTGGGCGGAGGGGCGAAAAGAAGGACAGCATATGCCTAACGTCTGCATTGGCTGGTCGCGCGTTGGCAGCTGCCGTGGCCGCCAAGAATGGTATTGGGCTATTTGGCAGCCATGAGGGTTGCACTGATGGAACATCCTTTGGCGCTTTCCTGTAGTGCTCCCCCCGTTTCCTGGTCCTTCCAAATCCTGAGGCGTTGTTGTCCCCATTTGCTCCCCTTGCTCTGTTGCATCCTGGCACATACCTCCAACCCATTTCCTTGCTTCTCCTTCACGGCACTGCGGCAGTTGTAACTGTTCTTGCCAACAAGTATCAGGGATCTTCTGGTGCCGTTCCTGACCCTTGGGCCTGCGAATTTGTGGTATGCCGACAATCCTAATAGACTAGAGCTATGGCACTGGGGATTTTTATCCAGCTCAGCACCAATAGACTTCCACAATCTTGCAGATGAGCCTAGAACAATCACCCCGTTCTCTAGAGAATCCAGCACTGACAACAGTTTGTTTTCTGTCTAATCCGACTTCTTACAACAGCATTTGGAAATGCCGCCATGCCGCCTCAAAAAATGCACCATTCAATGAAAATTTCTGTTTCCAAGAATAAGAGAATTTCCTTTGCCGTATTTGTAACCTCAACGACCTAATACTGCCATCGAATTCGACTGGTGGCTGTTCACTGTCCAGCCAAAGCCTACAAGCCATTAGCGTCAGTGAGCTAGACATCTGTGGATGCAGCCTGGAGGACGAGGCCATGTCCGAGGTCTCCTTGAGGCCGCTTCTGCGCCAGGGCAGAGACATTTCATAGACATGACATCACAACGGGGCACGTGCATTGAGGCGGGGTTGTGAATAGCACGCTAGAGCTGCGGATTGGGTCGAGGATGGTAAATCTTTCGGCAACATTGCAGTTGCCCTCGAGGCCTTTGGCGCAGATACCTTGGATTATGTTGGGTCGTGACGCCATCCCCCATCACGCGGATTCCCCCAAACCCCCAACTGGCGGCGTCGCGCTCAGCAATATCGCCCATGTGGCGCCACGCGACCCCAGATATTTGTGGCTTGTTTATGCGGATACTGATGAATCCATTGCATTCAAATGTCATGAAATCTATACGATTTGCATTGCCATATTTTGGTTCGTTTGTTTCCCGGCTCAGCAAAATACATGTACGGAACATGCATGTGCGTATTTCTGTGGTGCCGCAATATTATTTGTGGCCATGTTCAACTACCCCAACCTGGCTTGAACACACCCGCGGGTTCGTACAATTTTCGCACAATCACAAAGTACAAAGGGCGGCGGTCCATTCTGGCCGTTAACCCCGGAGATGGCACAGTAAAACCACCCTCAAACGGGCAGCTGAACCATGTAGACAGCCTCAGCACCACGTCAGTTGAGGATTCACTGAACGGCCAAACTTTTGCCCCTCTCACGAACTGGCTCTTCACGAAGAACTGCTTGTAATGCCAAAGACGACCAACAAATATAGCAGCGACAGCAAGGGGGGGCTTCAAACGGGTAGTAAACGTCCCACTGCCAGCCAACCATGCAAATGCGCCTGCGTAGGCTCTCACGGCTGCCACTCAGAGCGCCTCAACTGGTCACAGCTGCTCAACGGTCGGCAAAGTCAAAACGCAAGTCAGGTCCACAGGTCAGGGCTGCTTTGTCCATAGCACGTCGGTGGATGACACGGAAAACGCTTCTCTCCGCCTCAACAAGGCTGTGCAGCTACGAGACTTGGCAGGTTCTGGCCGGCAGCTAGATCGCACTGGAGGTGCTGGTCTTGAACGCCAAGGGAACAGCTTGAAACACGGCCCAGACTGGCTGCGATTTTTGAAAAGGTCGAGCGGTATTGCGCTCAGGCCGTGGCGAACGTTGCGCGCACGGGCAGGGGAGTCAGGCAGCCAAGCCAAGTGCCTAAACCGCGGCGCGAGACACACACAGACCCCACACAACCGTTGTTACAGCTGCCATGCCGAGTGCAATGATCGAGACTCCCCCGCGGCACAGTCCACGCCCCTAGTACTTATAACCTTCCATGAGTTTGAAATGGTCCCCCATAGGAAATAGCATCTTTTGATTCCGCGGAATCTTTCTGACACACTGCTGTGTCACCACAATTCGTGCAGGTGCGCCCCAACCCCCGGCCACGTAATGCCCCACGGGCCATATTCCCATTGAACGGCTTCGTGGCCCCACCACGCATCCCTCCTGACCCCGTCTCACCGCGCCCTATGCAAGGTCGCATAAGGGGCAACCCCCCTCCATCCAAAATAGCACCAGCGCACATAAAATGTCATATCTTGTTCACTAATCATCCGTTTGAGGTGAAATCCTTTGCAAATGATTTTTCTAAGACACTCTACATAACTGGGAATAACAACAGCATGTTGCATGTCTGACTTGCAACTGATTGGTCCTTTCAAATCCAGATTCGATCAACTTTCACAAGTCCATTTTTCTGACTGATGCACCCAGCCTTCCATGACAATCCATCTTGATCTGTGCTAGGGCACACTTCTGATCAGCTTGCACGCCACAGGACGCCAGAGTTCTCCATGCCAGGATGCCAGCGCCATGCCAGGAGAACAAATCCAGCTGTAGTACATTTGCATGCCTCTCGCGTCAGCCTTCCGACCGCCCGTTTTGCGCATCCACGGCGCCCGCGCTCGCTCGAACTCACGGCGCTCCGCCACACAGCCGACCACATAGATTGGAAGGACTGACCGTTCGCCAGAAAAAAAACAGCAAAAAGAACAGCAACTTCGAACTCCATCCGTCTCAATCGGCGATTCGGCCGTGTGGCTGCCATCCCCCATCAGCAGCACCATGGCGAGCCAAGGCCGTCCCAGCTCGATCAACGGGCATTGCTTGGAAAAATCGATGCAGCCCGACGCGCCAAGCCTTTCTGCGTCCAACGCGCCCTGTCACGCGCGTCTGCATCCCTTGCCAAAGCAAACGCAGGTGCCCAACAGGGACGTGCGTGCTTCTCAGTACTTCGCAGTGCTTCCGAACATGTCTGACACCGGTGTGCCCGGGTGGGGCGCTCAGCCACGTACTGGAGCTGTGTCCGGCATCGCAACTGCATTGCTTTGGGTTCTGTAGGCATGTAGTGAGGCTGACATGGTCCCCCTTTGTCACTGAAGTCATTTACTTGCATTCTGAGTGCCTTGGGCTTGGATTGCTAGAAAATCTTGGAGCACCCGTGATGGACGTTTTGGGTTTCTGCCTCATTGAGCGCCAACCTGCTGGATGATAATCAGTGTGACGAAGGTGCTGAGGTGGTCGACATCCCTTCTGCATCAATTCTGGATGTCACGGGCCGCCAGCTGAGCAACATCATTAATTTTTTAATTTTTTGATGAGCCACATTTATTGGCGACCCGAACAAAAGACATTCCATTTCCGCACCAATCTAGAAGTTCACATATGTATCTGTGTCTATTCGCTTCTCCAGTACATGTTATGCAGACTGCATTGCCCTAATTCCAATGCAAGACTAGAAATCAAACTGCGTTAGTCACAAATCCAGTAGCTAACTACTTAATCGCACACTTAAACCGAACCTCACTCTTAGGGCGGGGCTGCTCGGTATGAACAAGATAAGCTGGGGAACGAGTGTCAAACAAACTCCCGCCAAACCACGCACAACCCCATCAAAGTCCGCCTATTTCAAGGTGCGCACACTTCCAACGGCCATCCTTCAACATCTTGGGCTTTCGGTGACCAATTATAGTGAGATAGGAAAGCTAAGAAAGCGGGACAGAAATCGCCATACAAATTGGCCGCCCATTTCAATCATCGACGCAACTACCTAGATGGTCAATTTTATCAATTGAAGGGGAAGTAGGGCACGGGCTTGCAGTGGCCCATTTGTCAACAACACTGGAAAGTGATGGGCGTTGCTGCGGCCGGGGAGTGGAACTATTGGTGATTTGATTCCCTTGTTACGCACTTGACTGGCATTCGCTTTAACGAGCAGGATTGTGAGCTTGGACTTTGCTCCGTTGCATCGTTTGCACATTTTGTGGGCCACATACTTCCGCCATGATTCGCATTGGCTGTGCGCACTTCAATTTTCATGCTGTGTGCGCAGCACTGCCGCGTAGATCTGCTTGTGGGATGTTTGCGAGTAGATTTTCGCCCCACCGAGGGACCCCCCTCCCCCCTTGACGCCTCCTCGCATACATTTGAATAGGAGGGGGTGCCCTTTGTATGACCTGTTCTTCTTTCTTGCCTTTTTGTTGGAACAAATCTTGCCCCCCTGGACGCCTATATTTCGATGAAACTGCACGGATGTAGATGTGGCAATTCAGCGCATCAACCTGCGTTTTGTCGAGGTCAGCCACAATCACCCGGCTGCCCGAGCGGAGCTGCTTTCCAGCCACACTCCACTTCGCCCTGGCTTAACTGGGATTGCTGTTTCTCCACCAAGCACCGCTAGACCCTGCTAGTTGTCGTCATGACCGTCTCTGGGTGCGGCAGCCCGGCCACGACCGTGCTGTTGGGAGCATTCCTGATGCTTGCAGGCGCAATAGTCGGTGGCGCGCTGCCGCTCTACGTGGGAATTACTGGCAACGGAGCAGACCTGGTGACTTGAAACGGAATTGCGCCAAACCGGGTGCCCGTTAAGAAGCCGCTGCCACACGGTTGTCAGATCCATGCATTGAATATCCACTCGACGTGGGAAATGCTTGTCAAATACACAAGCCGAGCGAGATGCTTCTCTGATATGTGTGGATTGTTCAGACGTCAGGTGTCGCTGCCGGTTGCTTGGTGGGTTGTGTACTGGGGGTCATTCTCCCAGAGGCATTCCATGTTATCCAGGTGCGATGCTCAGGAAACAGATCCTGCTGCGAGATGTCCAGCATGTCTTCTATCTGCCTTGCATGAAGAGAGGAAATCCTGTCAAGAACTTGTGGAGTTTGTTCCTTCCATTGAATGTGCGTAGTTTCATCAATGCAGCAACACTTAGTTGACTTTAATTGTGCTGTGCTGTAATACTTGCAGGATATGCACAAACCCAGTGGCGAACAAGATTCTGAACACCAAGGGGAAGGGGTTGAAGAGTGGCTGATTGGTATCATTCTGATTGCTGGATATCTGGGAATGTTGGCTTTATCGAACTTGTTGCCTCATTCACACACATCCAGCCACCAAATTGGTCTAAATACAGGACTTCATGGCGCAGCAAAAGAAAAAAAGGTGGTGCTATGTTGGGAACAAAGAATCAGATGTTGTCCAGTCCCCATGCAATCTGTCACCAACTAGCAAACTGCCAATATGTTGGAACTGCTTTGTTGGAAGGGCAAGGTCATACACATTTTGATTTGGCCATTTTTGGTTGCTGCGATTTTTTGTTGCCCTTTCTAGTCAGATACCTTTTGTTTGCCCTTATGTTGTATTTTGTGTCCTTGCACCAAGGTGCCAGTGTTTAGGCTGAATTCTTTATGCGCTTGTGCCTATCAGATGCTGTTGACATTGATATCTGTTGCTTTGAAATTCGTTTGACACCATGCTCACCATGATGCCAGTATCTCCTGCAAAATAGCTCTCATCGATGGCCATGCACGAGCAATAAACGGGCAAATTAGGGCTTCACGCTGAAGCAACAGTGTAAAAAGACAGTGCTTTGTGTCTGTATCGATGCTGGGAATGCTGCTTTTGGTGGGCACTGTAGATGTACCAGAATATTAGAATGCAAGTCAAAACACTACTTTACATGTCACTGTTGTGCTGAGGTGCCATTTGAATTAACATTCACAGGGAGTTGGTATGAGAAGGTTGCTTGTCGGATTGGTTGCCCACTCAGGTACAGTGAGCTACAGCTGAAAACTGGTGCACAATTCGCTTTTTGAACCAGGCTGATAAGCCATGATGTACAAAGCAATTGTCTAATGGTTCAGTTCCATTGCTCTTTTCGCTTAAAAATGACTTGGTGCAATAATATGAGCTGTTTCATCTTGTGAGCTTGTGAATGTGTCGTATCCTGTGCCCAAGGGTGTGCACAACAAGCGTATTGTCAAGATTGCATGATTTTTGCAGCTCTAAGCATTGATTGAAAAAGATTGCCAAATACACTTGCCAAGTTTTTTTTAACAGCTCCTATGTCCCATAGTGCATTGTGTATTTGTTATGTTTGTCTGATCTATTGTTGAGCCAGTGATGTGGCGTTTCATGTTGTGCCTCAAAGAATTGCAGAAAACAGTATTCCGACCCGGTCTGTGCTGGTGCAGTATTGTCTGGTCTGTCAAAATGTAGAATGTGCCATAAGCAAGTGCGTTGCAGCTCTGCCCTGCAGGGGTACGTTGTATTAATCACGTGGCTGAGTCTTGGCAACATCAAACTTGGAATGCCCCAATCTGGATGACGACAGAAACCAGGCATTAGCAAAACATGATGGGCACTCATTTTAGATAGGTGCTCCTGGAGTGAATGCTGAATTCAAGCCCCTATCTCTTGTACGAAAGAGCAGGAAATCAGTATTAGATTAGGCAGGGTGTCACCAAATCTAAGAGCATAGTGTGTCTTTCTCAAAATTTTATATTCTGTTTGCACTGAACAATGGCACTTATCTGGCAACAATGGCAGGAGTTGTTGTCGATTTGCAGTACAATCTGTGCGAGGGGAGCATCATTGACATCCAGTTGAAGCGTTGCTTGCTTGACCTCGGCTGCATAGAGTGGTGTTTGAGTGCTATTGATACAGATGCTGAAAGCGAGGCATGGTACATTGATGCAGTATGTGGAATGTGCCATGACATCCCACTTCATTGCTTATCCACTCTGCCCAACAGTCTTGCTGGCATTTGACATGTCATTTGCAAAATGTACAATGCATCTGGTGCTGGAGTTGGAATGTTAGAAGAACATGTGAGCGTGCTAATAGAAAGCTATCCCTTTCATGTCTTTGTGACGTACTTCATGCAATAGCACATTTGGCTCCACCAGGCAGTTGAGCTTGGAGGTTCCACACATTCATGGGCTTCATCCCACACATTGTGTCTTCGCGTTCAGTTGCTGATGGCCTTGCTGTGGGAGCAGCTGGATTGGCAAACAATGCTTGTGTGACATTGCTGGTGGGTGTTGCAATGGTTCTTCACAAAGGCCCAGTTGCCTTTGGCTTCACTACCTACCTCTTATCTACAGGGGAAAGCAAGCCAGCCATTCAACAAGGTGTGTTGCGGGTGGCGTTGTTTGTGCAATCAGTCATCAATCTTACCCCGAGGTTGTGTCATGGCACTACAACACTACAACACCATACAGTAAGCATGGGGTCATGAAGGGCGCCCAAACACAGCGGCATTCACATTTTCAAGCACAAGTTGGGTTGTGCTCTGTACTCAATGACCCCAAAAGTCAACAGAGGACAATGAAGGTCCCGTGCAGTTGTATTGTGAAGCACTAGGACATAGCCATTATGATCATAATTCTTGTAGTTATCGTCATTGGCGAAGTGCAATGCTTTGTGAGGCTGACTAGCAGCTCTAGGTAGTCCTGGTTACCTTGCTTCCATAAGTTAGTTAGGTTGCATTGGTAGCAACCACCCAACATGCAAAGCGCACTATTGTGATTAGCAGTCGCCAGACATGCTAGTAACCACCATGTCAGCCTGTGAGCTGTGCAGCGTACACATGCATGTGGATAACAACAACGCCACCTTCACCCAGCCCCATGAGCCAGGTTCCGCCCAGAGCATTACCGCTATGGCCGCCTATCTGTCCCTACGAATCGACATGCAAGTGGGGCTTGCACACACTTAGTCGGCCTGCCCTCCATGGTCTTTCACACTCTACCCTGGCGTTCCAAGGCAGCCAACGGTCAACACACAAACGGAGCCGGTTTCGCCCGTTGGCCAATGCAATACCCATACCTCGCACAGACACACGGAGGTGACATTCAGGTCTTGTAAGTGTTCGCAAAACCTGCTAAATGGTTTGCAAATGATACCTACCTACTTTGGCCACAACCGCATGCTATGCTGAGGCACTGCATGCTGCACCTCTGCCAAGCTCCCATGCTCGAAACATCCCAAGAATCTTCAGGTGCTGTAGAGCCCCGCTTAGCCTCACAAAAACATGCATGCCAGACCTCTCGTCAACATAACGTACTCTTGGCCATCCCAACGTCCCTCCCACAGCAGCCCATGCCTGATCTATTCGATGCCTTCGACGAGGTCGTATGCACACACATGCGCGGCTGCAGAAAACTTGTGCAAATAGAGTACACTGCATTCTCCTCCCACCCCTGACATTGGCTTCTCATTCATGAGAGGTGCCAAGTCAAAGTAGTAGCTATTGATGTGCGAATCACCCGGGCTGCATCGCTTCCCAGTTGCATCAGCCTGGCAGCCGTTCTACAGAGTAACGAACTCGTATGGTTGGCAGTTTCCTTGATTTCCACTTCCTCATGAATATATATGTGTATGTATAAACGGCTGTCCATGGGGCACTGTGATGGAACTGCGTTACAACGTCGCTCTGTAGTGTATTATACCCTTCTGTATTGTAACGTAACGTTTGGCCATTTGGTGTGGAGCAATAATAGAATCTTAACAGTGCCAGGAAAATGTGGAGCAGCCCCAGCTGTGACACGAGGGTCGCTGAAGGGCTCGTGGCGCTTGTGGTGTCTAGTGGCCCCGGATACATGAGTCGCTGAGGCAGAAAACCGGCATTTGAGGCCATGTGAACTGAGGGAAGTCCCCATTCTGGCTGTGGCCATGATGCGGAGCCCGCTAAAATAGCAGTTTGTCAACAGAATGCGCGGCAGAAATCATAATGCTGAAATTTCATCATGCGGAAGAGTTGGATATACTGTGGTAGAGAATCTCTACGATGTGCCCCCTTGACATTCACTCGAATCATGATTAGGGAACACCGTATATCGTTTTGGTACGCTTAACCGCCGGGGGATGGGAATGGGGTGGGGAGGGTGGTGGAGGGGGCTGTGAGCTAAGAGCCTACATAGTTGCCACAAAGTCGATACAAGCCAACAAGAGACCCAAAACGCTGTTGCTCAGCGGCATAGGATGCATGCAGTAATTAGAAACGTCGCTGAACCGTTAATTCTCTTCAGAAGAGCCTGCAATGTCTCAATTAATGCCCTTGGGGCTGTCTCCATGACCAGCCATCACTTTATGTAGCCCATTTTTGAAACCTAAACAATCGTGGCATTCTGGCTGTATGACTTTGTTTAAAATGTTTGATGTTGCGCTGCACTATTAAGTAATGATGCGAGTCTTACTGGCATCGACATAAGGATTGACAACAAGGCAAAAAGGTGGGGAGGGGGGGATTTGCTGTGAGGAGAGAGAGAGCATGACGTACAATGGCCACCCCTACTAAGCAAGTGTGCGTGAGACTCTTTTCCATTCTATAAAAAGATGATGTAGAGTAGCACACAACCAAGCACCACAAAGAGCAAGAAGGGGGGATGGGTATGTCTGTTACAAAGAGAAAGAGAAACAAGTCACACAAAGGGCAACCGCTCCTAAGCAAGTGTATGCGACATTCACCGCTGTGCGAAAATAATGTAGAGTCTCCTGTGTGAAGCGATGATCACAAAAGGCAACCAATACAGAAGGGGGTTGGGGGTGGGGTGGGGGTGGGGTGGGGGTGGGAGGGGGGGGTCTCTGAACTTGATGTCCTTTTGACCCTAAGGGAAGACACTATTTTGAATTTTGTATGCTTACCGTCAAATTGATGGTGGTGGTGGTGGGTGGTGGGGTGGGGTGAAGGTTGGTTGGTGGGTTCCAGCGATTGATGCCAAGAGATTATGTAATTGCACTAAAAATCAAATAAGGTGGGAAGATGCACGCGAACGCCGCTGATCAGCGGCAGACAGCTCATGACCTGTTCCAAAACCTCCCTCAAATTTCAATCCTCGAAGAAATCCCTATAATGGATCAATTTTCAGGCTTTGGGGCTGCTCCCATCGCCTATCATGGCTTTTGATGTCCCATTTTCCAAACAACTGCAGTCGCCGCAATCTTTGGCTGTTGATTTCCATTAGAATTATTTTGAAGTAGTATGGCATTGTTAGGTAATATTGCTGAGTCATGCTGGCATCGAAACATGGATTGATGCTGAGGAAGGGGTGGGTGGGGTGGGATGGGGTGGGGGGGGGGTCTGAGCTTAACGCCACATTTACGCCAAGCGCCCGATATTCTAAAATAGTTTCTTCCCTAAGCATACCAAATGGATGTGTTCACTAAATATGAATGCATGGAATTTTTTTCTGTGGCTGCCTTGGTGCCGTATTCAGGCCATAACGTGCAGTAGGATCATGTGTGCTGGTGTGCACTTAACCCACTGTAATACCATAATGCATGAGTGGCTTAATTGTTGGGCGTTCACTGATTCGAACGTGTTGCGCTGCACACATGCACGGAATGTTGCATTGATTGTCCTTCAGACCTGATGGGTTTCTATCCTTTCTGCTTTGCTTCTGATATGGATGCTGTTTTGAAACAATTGTGTCTGTGGTGAGCTATCCATATCCGTGTTCTGGCCTCCGTGTTGTCTATGCACTTGCCTGACACATTTGTGGACATCTTCCAGGGCTGCTGATATTCTCGGTGGCATCCCCAGCGGCAGCCATCATTACGTACGGCCTGCACGATTGGGTCCCAGCCTTACAAGAAGCCAACAACATTGGCTTGGTCATGATCTTTTCAGCTGGCAGCTTCCTTTATGTTGCCTGCTCACATGTTTTGCCAGAGGTGGCACACAAATCAGGGTCGTTGTCAAGTGGCCAACTCACGGCCATTTTCTTGGGTAGTTTGTTGCCCCTTCTTTTGTCGTCTTTTGTTGGCCATGGCCACTGAAGCTCTCTTTTGTAGCGCTAACACCACAGATGATGGTCTGAAAACTCGAGTATTTTAACTGCGTGGTTTAGGTAGTAGTCTGATATGTGGGACAGGTTGCCAATTAGCTGCATGATACTACCATTTCTGGCACAGCATGAGAAGAGAACGAATATCTGGACAGAAATGAGGTGCTGCGAGGCCAATCAACGTGTGCAGCTGATAGAAACCGTGCAATACTTTTGTCACAGCAGTATAAAAGCAATTCAATGGATCAAGTTTCTCTTGAGACGTGCTTATGCTCCCAGTGTTGGCTTGATGTAATGTGCAGTCTGCATTTTAGCTTGGGGTAAAAGAAGCAGGCAACCACTATCCACTGAGTATTGGTGCTGCAGAGGAGGTTTTGCAATTCGTCCTTTGCGTTTTGGCAATCGTGTGGCCTTGCGTCACATGCCATTGAGGTGAGCACGAGCAGTCCTGCCAACAGGGTTGCTCTGGGCATTTGCCAATCCACACCCAAGAATGAATAAATCTGTTTGGAAGAGTGCAGCCACCACCAAGCAATTGCAATGTCTCCCTTCGATGTCAAGGGATCCAAGTTAGGCAACACTAGTTGTCCTTTCAGCCGTTGACATACATACAATGAGTTCACAGCAATTGTATCATGCAGGTCTCAACAAGCATCCACTTGTGATAATGTTTTAAGGGGAACCACAAGTTTGAACTTCAGCATTACGCTGCAAACATCACCATCTCCCACTGCCACACTTGTGCAATCAATCACATCGAGTGCCAACGAATGTCACACAGACTCAAAGCTTGGGAGCACCATAGGAAGTCGACAGCTTGGACAGTGTGCTTGTCAGCTTCTGAGCCACTGTTGACTTGCATGCTGCCCCAGCCACCTTCACTGGGCTACCGCTGCTATTCCCCACGGTTGGAGATCGATTATCTAATAAGACTCTGATCGAAGCAAAGGTGCACATATAGCAGTCTTTCGTCTCCTTGCAGCTTCCAAAGGATGCCTAACATGGTAACATGACAGATGTTAGTTTTGCGCCACCAAACTGGGTTGGTGGCTCCTTATGAACATCAGGCATTGGATGTCCCCTTGGGGTGTACCATGTCCACAAACCGAAATACCAGTCGTACAACAAGCATGCCATCCTCAGATGACAGGTGGCCATTCAGCCAGGGAAACAGCATGGTTTCATATGCCACAAAGTGGTCGACCACCAGCTCATTGTTGTTCTGTCCAAAGTCATGCCAGCCCTCAAACGACGCAATAAAGTCAACCTCTTTTCGTGGTCCTGGGCCCCTCGCTCTTGGCTGCTCTGTTGCACTGTTCATGGAAGCTTTGCATGAGGGCTGGCTGGCAGTGCCTGTCCACACCCAGCCAATTGGCTCGCAATCGTCCTTGTTGTGCCACAATCTGACAACCAACTTGAAATGAGCGTCCCCAGGGCAGATCGACAGCTCCAACTGGCGTCCATCGACGTTGAATCGAGGAGAACACCACTGCTCCTGTTTTGAGAACACAGGTGAGATTGACACCATCACGATGCAAGCCCTTGCAAGCAGCAGGAACACAGCAAAGACAAGCAAAAATGTGGCACAGTGAGCCAACAATATCAACAGACCACCAACCCATGCTTTTGGCGACACAATAGAAAACGTTGGGCACTCTACTCTCACCTTTATGTGCCACACATTTCGCACACGCCAGTACACATGCGTGTGGGGCTCTGACTTGCGATCGATGGACTGGAAACCAAGAGCATCGTCGAACAACGAGTCGGAAACAACGATAACAGGCTCCAAAGAGCCAAAACCATGTATTTGGTCCCTGCACAGCGCCTGCAACCCTGGAAGCTGATAGTAACTGGCCTCACGCTCCAGTGCCAGCAGCTCGTCAACGCTGTGCAGTGGCAGGCGAAATCTGCTGTCCCCGCTGCTTCGTGCCCTCAGGTACTCCAGCACATGCTTGAAGAGATCCCCATTTCGATCAATGAAGATCGATCCCTGGCCATCCACATCAGGCTCCCAGCGACCGGAGAGCAGAATGTCGAAAAAGGCGCCCACCTCTGCCGACAGTGTCGAAGGCGTGGTTGTGTATCTGACGCCTCCAACGTTGAGATTCACAATTCGCTGTCTGCCTGAGGAACCATCTGCCGTGCGCGACCGGAAGAGCGACATGCACGGGTGTGTTGCCCTCGGTGTCCGCTGCGGTCCTACAGTCACCCTTTGTTGTCTTGGCGGGCTCCGCTATACAGTCCACCCACTTCACTTGGAGGCCTCCAGGTGAGGCAGCTGCCGGGGGGCAGCCTGCAACGCCGAATTCTGGGAGCACAGCCTTTTGTGCACTCGCGCCATTTCTGCGCATGGGGGCACCAATTTGGATTGGGAAGCTGCGGTCGGCCGCCTCGGCTCGCCTTGGGGCCCCGCCAGCCGCGTTTGCTGTCCACGAACGAGTCTTGCATGGTGTGCATCATTCGAGCACTCATAATTCGTGGGACATCAAACGCCAATGCATTTCTCATTCAAAGCAGAGCGAGCAGTTTGTTAAACTTGCCAATAGTCATTATGCCATATCAACCAAGGATTGGCACATGGCTAACATGTGGGAACGAATTGGGTGTCACCGCACCGTTGACAAATTATTATTGACATGGACAAAACACAAAGCTTGCCAAAGCGCAAAGAAAGCACACTTGTAAATTGCGTATGGGCAGACCTTGCACAGCTCCATTCATGAATCACCCAAAGAAGTGTTAATGAATGTCCATACAGGTGGATATTAAGAGGCAAGTGTCATATATATAAAAGCTTATTCGTGACGGCCATCCATTAAGGAGCATGTTTTCCATTTTACGGCACTGACTGCCAAATCCAAGGGGCAACCTTGTGTAAACACCCAAGAGTTAAGGTGTCCCCACCTAGGAAAATGGGCCACATACTGGCAAATGGAATAAGCACGTGATGCTACTTTTTGAATGCACACAAAGTGTTTAACATCATTTCCTTAACAAGACATTTCCTGCTATTTTATCTCATCCCACAGCTGCAGCTCATGACCTTGAGTGAACACTCAGAATTTCAAATGGACGCCTTACATTGAGTTTTGCTGAAACCGACTTGAAATTTTGACCACATCTTTGCTATGTTCCCTATTATTGTGGTCCAAATTTTGCATACATATTATGTGTACATATAAGCTCCTGCTTCACAATGTCTACCCAACCAACACCACAAGAGGTCTCATCCATGTGAATAGACGCGCCACGTGATGTTGCAACAGATGTTGGGTGCTCAAATACCCTTGAAGTGTTAATTTTGGGTACTGGTAGGGTTGGCTCCAAGTCGTACGATAGCTAATGAAGATAGCAATAGGTATTAGCATACAATAAATTGGGAAGCTAGCTTCAAATCGATAGGGCTTACGACGTTTTTGAATAAGTCTGGTAAACCCATTGTTGGTGCACAAAGAATACACCACAAGAAAGTTCGGGGATCCCAGATCCATCCCGCAGGTCGGCTCTATAAGCCCCGATTCCATGCAATATGAATGGCCATTGTGCTTGTACTCTCAAAGAGGAGATGGTTCATCGACTGCCCAGCACCTCGGTTTATGCGTTGTTGTTGTTGCCTTGCTTGCGTCTAAGAGAATATTGGGTACCAAATGCAACAAACTAAGACACGACATCCAACTGGCTAACGTTGACATCGTTTCAATCAAGTGCGTCACGAACTCACGTGGCAGCACTTTCTTTGCTTGCATCGCTTGCAACAAAGTCGCCAAACTGTCACTGACGCACCGCTGGACCGGACACTGACATCACGCCCCAAATCGTGTCACGTCAATTTCAACCCGTTGGGACCAACCTGGAGAGAGGGAAGGCTCTGGCCATGCGAGAGGCACCCCGCCAAAGAGGCAACGCAGACAGTGCTCAGCGTTTACCCCATACAAGGGCAACGCGATCACCGTCTCCTCTCGACGACAAAAGCCGCTGCCAGGATGAGCCAGTCTGCCATGCGAGCAGCCGCGTCAGCCCCCGGCAACAGTTCGGTCCCATGGCCGGTGGAACGTCACGTGGACTGTCGACTGACCCCTGTCCCGAACTCTCCCAGCAATATAGGCGAACCGTCGTCCCTGAGGGACAGCTGCGTGCGCCAAACGCCGTTTGCTGCCTGAGCTCGCTCTCGGCGCGCGGAAGCCTGTCCCAGCTAAAGGCATTTCTGTGGGCTACGGCACCTGCGCGCCACCCTGACGTAGGCGGCAGTACACAACGGGCGAATTCAGGCTCCGGCGGTTGGACGTCGAAGCTTGCCAGGCAATGTTGTGCCGGGGGGCGAACCCCCCCGCGCTGATCAATAGAGCAAAGCCGCTCGGGGTGCGAAACGGGCTCCCCCCGTTTCACAGGCTTGTGGACAGGCGACTGTTGCATCGTCGGGTAGTGGCGTCCGTGCCCGTGGACCCCAGGAGGTGGGTGTACCGTGGGTGATCTGCAGCAGCGAAGCGCCTGTGGAAACAAGGCTGTTGCCAATCATGGTGGACATCGGGATATGGTTTTCAAGGAGATCGAGACGGCCGATGTACCGTTGCTCGCAACTGTTTAAGCAGCACCGAGGGCAACCCAGCCCCGCGGGTGCTTTACATCCTGTAGGTTGTAAAGCACCGGATCTTTTGAGAACTGTGTTTCGAAGGCCAATTGCTCACCTGCGTGATGCTCCATAGGGCTGTCCTGGCATCAACAGCGGTTCCAAAGGCGTCCGATTCCGTCGCTGAAGAACCCGCGATAGAGATGGTGGGTGCACTTGATTGTTTCTTCATGAGCCCTGTGGCCGTCGTGAGCTACAGGTTTTAAAATCATCAGTTTCGAAGATGTTGGATTCCTGTGAAGATTGAAGGATAATTCTTAAACTTGGCAGTTGAATGGGGTGCAGCTTGTTCTGGACAGCAGGTAAGGATTGTGCAACAAATATTTTGTCATACTGCATATGGCAAACGTGTGGTAATGACGCCCCAATGTATTTCCTTAACAGGGAAGTTTCTTTGGAAGTGTTTGTTTCGCGACTGGTTATATGTCCCTTTTTGACATTGTCTCTGCCATAAAGGTGTCTCAAAAGTCCTCACACTGCAGAATGCCTAGAACTGGGTTCGTCCTGTCTGTACACATTTGATGGATATCTGAACTGTTACACATGAGTTTGGAAGCCTCCAGTCTTGATAATGCACCAATATTTTGTTGTGGGAAACTTGCAGAAGCGACCAATTCTTTTTGCATCTTCTGCTGTTCCATCCACCATGTTGCTACTGTTGGTTGCAGTGATGAACTCTCAACAGGGTTTGGTGCCTTGTACAGGAGACTACTTCTGATCCTCCTACACCTCCTCCATACGGCTCAATAGCATACACAACTCCCTGGCAGGCACTGAAAGAGCACGTGAAGGAGATTGACAAGACGTGAGCAGCTGGAATTTTGTGTGGGATGAGTTTTGTTCTTGAATGGTATAATCTTCATTCGTGTGATCTTCTGTATGGGAGGAAAGTGCGCATCACGGTCTGCAGACAGAGCATGGTCAAGCAAGAATCCTCATTCTGAACCTTCGTTTATGCATGTTAAGTCACCTTGAAGCTGCTCACAAGGCTGCCTGGACTGCCGAATCTACACATGACGATCTGATTATGCATGTCAGGCATTTGCGCGACCTGCTGGCTGATGAAGCCAGGACCAAAGCACTCATCAAGGAGCACAACGGAGTCTTTTGTGATTTCTGCCGGCAGCGAATCACAGTGCAGACACTGCAGGTATGCTACACAAACCAGTCGGGAGCACAGCGCAAGCATTTGCTGAATTCTGCTGTCCCAGGTTGTTGATTGATGTCTTGCAGAAGCAGTCTGTTCGATTTACACACCATTCTGCCTGTGTCACTGGTGGAAGTTCCAAATGCTGTTCAATCGAGATTCCTAGCGTGGACTGCAAACAAACAACGGGTGTCTGTTGCGCTACAACTGATGAATGCAGTCGGCAACCTGCTGGGTAATTTACTTGAGAGATGCTGAATTTGTTGGGATGCTGCAGCTGCTCTTCAAACTGGCAGAGGAGGCACAGTTGAAAGAAAAAATCGATGCAATGTTCAGAGGAGACAAGATAAATTCAACAGAAGGCCGCGCAGTGCTGCATGTTGCTACGAGGGCAAGGAGAGACCAGGTTCGAGCACTTTAGATATAGCTTGTGTTTGACTTTGAGATGGAATTTGGTGCGCATTGGATTGAAACATGTTGCGTATATGACGCTAATGTTTCGCACTGCAATTTGACAACCATGCGAGATAGTAGTGCACCCTGTGTTGTTGTCCCTTGTTGAGTCATTCTGTCTGCTTTGGTTTGGTAGGAGATATGTGTTGATGGCCACAATGTGGTGCCTGAAGTGTGGGAAGTGCTCGATAAGATCAACGAATTCAGCACAAAGGTCAGGAATGGTGAATGGCTTGGAGTTACTGGCAAGCCCATCAAGAATGTTGTAGCGGTTGGCATCGGGGGAAGCTTCTTGGGTCCTCTTTTTGTGCACACTGCCCTCAGGTTTGTGCAAATGGATACACTCCTTTGTTGGAATTGTGGAAGCAGGAGCTAGCCAGCTGCGTATGGCATTTGTTCTTGATTGCTTGATTGTGATGGTGCATCTGTGCTGTCAGTCCAATGGACTCCTCAGATGCTGGGAAAACAGAGCTAAACACGTTACACTATGAAACAAGTGCAGTGAACTTGAACACTGTGTGGCACGAGCCAAAGTTTGCCAGTTTTCCTTTCACATAGTAGACTATGCACAAATGCACACATTTCCACTGGTGTAGAGTACTATTTTTGTTGCAGCTGTGACAGTGAGGAAATTGGCAAGGATGGCGTGTGCGTGATGCCCAAAATATTGTACCACGCCTTTTTTTGAAGTGATAGTGGCAGCTTGGGCATTGTTGCAGTTGTTAGGTACAGAATGTGGAATCGGACTGCCCTGCATTTGCTCAATTGCGAACGACTGACAAGTCCAGCTAATTGGTGCATTGGCCATTGGCACATGCAATGGCTGATGCCATTTTGCCTAAAGTTCAGAACATCGTCAATTTGGTGTGCTGTGCTGTCATGGGAGTTTGGATTGCCCATGAACACAGAATACTTGACAGAGTTGGCATCGCCCAGCAGATTGACAACGTGTCCACTTTGGCAGCTTGTGTAGTATGCCTGCCGTGTGTTGTGTTGCAAGGGTGCTATTTGTCATGTGCGAATTGTGTTGAGGCCATGGTTCTTGGACCTTTCTGGCTGACTCAAGCCATGCCGTTGCTGTGCTGGGCGAAAACGCAGTTTGGCAGCAGCGTGTGACATGCATGTTTGTCAAAGTGCATGGAACAGACTTGCAGTTGTGGCATTGCCTGCTCTTTGAGAGGAATCTAACTTTTGGCCCAGTGCAATATCTGGATTGCTGTTCACTCTGGTGGTTTCCATCTGCCATGTAGCCCATTCTCTACTGTATGCACCATGTTATCACTCAACAGTACAACATTGAATTTCAGCTTGTAACAACATCAACAGATGCATGCAGCAGCAGCTAGTACTGGTGCGATGTATGCAATTCATGCCCTATGATGTCCTGTGCTTCCCCAAAGTGATTAAATGCTGTAATATTTAGAACAGCCCAAAGTGAAGGGTGTTGGGAGCCTTCAATGCCAGGAGAACTGGACACCCGGGCAAATTTCTGGCACACAGTTGCAATTGTGTCTGGGTCCGCAGGTGGTATTGCTCTGTTTCTGTGTTGGATGGCAGAGTTTTGCTGACAATATCTGTTTGCTGTTGCTGGCACAGGACAGAAGCCACTGCGCATGCAGCAGCTGGTGGCCGCGTGCTCCGATTCCTTGCCAATGTGGATCCCATTGATGTTGCCAGAGCTCTCGATGGACTGCAGCAAGAGGAGACACTTGTTGTCATTATATCAAAGACCTTCACCACAGCAGAGACGATGCTGAATGCAAGGACACTGAGGACGTGGCTGACAACTGAGCTTGGTGAGTATACAGGGTATCTGGGTCACAGAATGGTGCAAGCTGCATGTGCTGGGCATGGATGGCTTGGGAAGCCATTTGTTTATGGGCGTCGGTTGAGATGGAGCCTGCTTGTCACTATGCAACTGCAGGATCGGGATTGATGATGTTCTGCTTGGTCTTTCCCAAGCCAAAGAATTGCTTCAAGTATTAAACATTGGTGGTTTAGAAGACAGATTTCGTGGGTTCTCTCACTTTTCCTCCCTGAGGCCTGAGCATCAGGATCCAGTTGGGTTTGCATGGGACGGGGTCAGGTGTCCTGACTTTGGTTACCCAATGCCCACCCATTAATACGAAGAGCAGTGCCAACGTGCTTGTGCTTCCATCTGTTGTCTGTAACTTGACCTGCTGGTATGACTACCTAGAACCAGGTTGGCTGTCCGTAGAATAATGTTTTTTGATTGTGCACTGAAGCATTTCTTTGTCGATCAGGCCAGGATGCTGTTGCAAAACACATGGTGGCAGTGAGCACCAACATCGAGTTGGTGAAGGCGTTTGGCATTGATCCCAACAACACATTTGGGTTCTGGGACTGGGTTGGGGGAAGGTATTCTGTTTGCTCAGCAGTGGGAATTCTCCCACTGGCTCTGCAGTATGGATTCGACATAATGGAACAGTTCCTCCTGGGTGCGAATGATATTGACGAGCACTTTCTTTCTGCCCCTTTTGAGAGCAACTTGCCAGTGTTGCTTGGCCTGCTATCCGTCTGGAATGTGTCGTTCCTTGGCTACCCTTCCCGAGCCATTCTGCCATATTGCCAGGTACTTGTCAACTGTGTGTGTGTGTGTGTGTGAAAGAGGGGTGGGGAAAGATCTGTGAACAGCGTTGTGTCTGTTTCTGCCTGGGCCTCAGCCATGCTGTAGGGCATTCATGCATGCCATATTCACCCTGTGTTGGTATGCATACCTGTATTGGTATCAATGGGGGTATAAAACATGTTAGTATCCATGACCCAGTGATAGTAACTGGTGTTAGTACATCTTAAAGTACTGGTCTTGCTACATCACCATGTTGGGCACTTGATGGCTATATGGTTATCCTTTTGTTTGCAGATGGTACAAAAGTGTTTGAGATGCATTTTGTGGTGATGGTAGTGCTGTCATTGACAATGTGGACTTTTCTGTGGTGCAAAGTGGGTGATTTTGAAAGTTTCCTGTTGATATTGCTTGCATGTTTCATACCTTTTAGGATTTTGTTTTCATTTCTTGGGTTTAGTGCTCAGAATTGTCGATGTACTCCTTGGAACAGACCATGTTGATATCCATTGCCATGTGTGAATGTTCACCATCACGTGTTGCACTGCCTTGGGGTCCCTGTTGACAGATTCTAACACCAGGTATCCACAGCATTCAGAGCTGTGTTATGTCACAGCGTATTGCAGCATATTCTTGCTGTGTACTTGTGGTGGTGGCTTGGGATCATGTCCTGATCCATGTGCTTGTCTGGCAGATGTGTGCTGCTTGCATCAGAGTGCCACAAGTCGCACAATACTTCTGAAACTTATGTTCTCAACTAGTGGGCCGGTCTATACCTCTACATGCTCATGGATCTGTAAATACATTGACAGTCAGCTTCCTGGGACTTCACAATTTGCTTGTGTATATTTTTGTATGTATTTTGTTGCACAGTTTATCTGCAGATGTTGATTGTTCACTGTGTTGCAATCAGGCGCTGTCCAAGCTTGCGCCCCACATTCAGCAAGTTTCGATGGAATCCAATGGCAAGGGTGTGGACATGAATGGCAAACCCCTGCCATTTGACTCTGGCGAGTTGGATTTTGGCGAGCCAGGGACGAACGGGCAGCATTCTTTTTATCAACTGATTCATCAGGGTCGAGTCGTGCCATGTGACTTCATTGGAATTGTGAGGTCCCAGCAAAGTGTCTACCTAAAGGGAGAGATTGTGTCCAACCATGATGAACTCATGTGCAATTTTTTTGCACAGGTGAGTGGGCCGAAACTTTCATCCAGTCAGATTTGCCTGCATACTGACAAATCTGCTAGCAGAGCACGAGGTGCCACAGACAACCTGCATTCCCACAAGAGAGTTGCCTGTGATGGTGCACAGCATGGCTGCCACCTCGATTGCCTGTCATGCTCATTCATCATTGTCACAGAATGTGTCAGGCATTATTTGAAATTGTGCCCAAGAATGAATTCCAGTGCACTCATGCCCCAACTGCACTGGTATCAATGTTGGTGGTTGTTTCACACACAAACCTAAACCTAGCTATTCAAGCATATCGAATTTTGGCATTGACAGAAGTTACAAGATTTCTCGTTCCAAATTCCTGTTTGTTGACCTTGTCCACAGGCTGATGCTTTGGCATATGGGAAAGGCCCAGTACAGCTGCGTTCAGAGAATGTACCTGACCACCTCATTCCACACAAAACCTTCAGTGGGAACAGACCGTCACTTTCGATCATGCTGCCTGAGCTCTCGGCATATCAGGTTGGACAGCTGTTGGCATTGTATGAGCACAGGGTTGCTGTTCAAGGATTCATCTGGGGAATCAATTCGTTCGATCAGTGGGGTGTGGAGCTTGGGAAAGTGCTGGCGAGCAAGGTGAGGATGGCAGCGGCTGTGCGCTGATGTCAGCAACATGCTTGAGTCTGTACATATACTTCCTAGAACTTTCCAGTGGAAAGGGCCACGCACATCTTCATGTGATGACGCATTCTTTGTATTAAATAGAATTGAAAGTCAGCAGTAAATTGCTGCAATGATGTTTTTATGGAGAAAGGGCTTGACAGCGTTGCCATACTCAGGAGTTATTTGTTTCTTGCAATTCAGATGTGCACTGGAAAGTCCTGTGGCTTCCGAGTACTAGCACAGGCTGCCCTATGTCTGTGAACAAAACATGAACCTAATGCACAAATGGTAGCATGCATGTGGTGAAAGGCATGCCAGAATCTCATAGTGGAATGTAATATATGTTTTACTTGTCATCATTTGTCCATATCGTTTGAAACGGGTAAGCCACTCTAACACGACGGTTTGTGGCAACCAATAATTCCTTTTTCTAAATCGCAACTGGATTGTTGACCTGTACAGGTTCGGCAGAAGATGAATGAGACACGAACAGGCAACCGTAAGATCACACCAGCGGATGCGTTCAACTTGTCAACCTCAACCATGATAAACAAGTATTTGGAAGGCAAGAACAAACTTACGTATCCAGAACCCAGGAATGTCTTCCCTGCTGACCTTCTGAAACCGAGGGATTGATCTGAAGGCACAGAAGAAAGTCCTCCTTCCAAGGTGCAAAAGTTTATTGCTCTGTGGCGAGGAAATTTGGCTGCTGTTCTGGCTGGTAGCTTCATGGGGCTTTATGTTTTCTATGGAATTGTCATGGAAGAGTGTATCTTTCTTTGTCGAAAGTGGCGCCATCGTAGGCTGTGCTGTTTAGCTCGCCGACCATGATGAGGAGATTGTAGCTGCTGCTTACATATCCATCTTCGGACCAAGAATAATACTGGCCTTCTCCTGGTCGACTCCAAAGACATGGAAAATGGCTTGAATTTGGCCAGCCTGGCAACTAATGTGTCTCCAGCTGTCCTGGGTTGTAAGTATGACGAGGTATTGGCTTTGAAGCGCTACGGGATAGTGTTGCTTGCCTTAACTGTAAAGGGGCAGAAGGTCCGAAGTTGTAAGGGGTCATAAATTACCTTCTTCCGCCCTGTGGGTACCTTGGATGGTGGTGTGCATCGATGCTAGCAATTGTTTGTTTTAGTTTTGCTGTGATGCATCTGATGTATCTGCACAACCGTTTTGAACTTCGCCTGTCCTGTTGCTTGGTTTGCTTTCAATTTCAGCAAGTTCATATGGCTCGTTGCAATCCCGGATTCAGGCACGTTAGATCACAGAGGATGAATAACAAAGGGAAAAATGGGGGCGCCCGGTTGCAGGGATGTTCCTGCAATTTCCCACTGCTTTCGTTGTGATTGGCGTGGTAGTTTAGATTGCTATATTATGTGTTAATACACATGCAAAGCATGCCAACACCTGAATTAAGGTTGGGAGTTGAAGCAATGACTCAAACGGTCACAACAAAGCGCTCACAAGAAGCGCAAACACCACACGGAAACAACGCCATCCCAATGGTGCTCACACATGTTCTTGCAAGGCAGCACCACGCAGAAATCGGCAGCTTACATATTTGCTTGCCCAGTTCCAAGTGCAAATGCAACATGCCTTCCCAACAACAGCACCAAACACAATCAAAATTCTTGTCTCATAGTCATCAGGTTGCCTATTTGCAACCTATTCGTGACACCACATCATGACCACCATTTTCACTGGGTGGATCACTTATAATTGGCATATGATGGGTATCTACCATATGCATTGTATGCATTGCATGGGATGGTCCGAGTATTCCACCATTGCTGAATTTGAAAAACAAAAAAAGTGAAAGAAAAGAAATAGAAAACACTCCAAAAATAGGTTATGAGCACACTGCTACAAACATTAGGGGTGAGTGTAAAGTAGGTGAAAAGTTTAGGAGACAAGGGCTGGTGATGAAATGCCACCCTGTGTGCTCAACAAATCTTCGTCACTAGCCAGCTCCCCATACTAATTGGATTCAAAAACAATTCTAGGAGGTCTTGGATCTCAAGGGGCCAGGCTATGTGGGTGAATTAGGATGAGCCTAGTTAGCACATCCCCGGTCTGAGAAAGACCAACTTGGTTGCCTGACTTAATAAGGAAAAGGCATATAGTCCAGTGATTCACATGCAAAATGGGGTCTTATGTGATGTATAAGGTTGCGTTCAAGCGAAGGTCTTGAAATTGCATTCACACACACAAGTCACAAAAGCAAATGTGTTGGCTCTATGGGATTTCAGAAGCCAAGTACGGTGCTAGCTCTTGTGTTATGCAAGGTTATTTTTAGTTCTCTCACTAAAAATCCATCATCCACTAAAAGTTACGGGTTAGAAATGGCTTAACAAGTTCATCACACGACTAGGGTGAAGAAGTGAGAGTAATAAGTAGATTAACACCCCTCACCTTGTGTGCTAACAATACGTTTTACACTTCCTCCGTAGTTGATTATGCAAGTTATGCTGATTTGGGGTAAAAGCGTTTAGTTATTGTGAACAAAATAACATAGGTTTGACCTAGTGCAAGAAAGGGAATATATGAGAGGTTCACGATTGTTTTGAAAACACAAATGCACCAGATTGTGCATGATCATGTGAAAGGATTGAAGCCCATTCATTGTGTTGACTACTTTTGTCAGACACTTGAAAAGGGATGTTTTGTCTTTAAAGTAATTGCATATGCCACCACTTTCTTTCTACATTTTGTGCTTCAGCCAATGTGCTATAAAGAGCCCCCACAGGCTAAGCCCGTTTCCCTTGATGTCCACATGACATAGAGGTGGGCTGGCCATGTGCTGTGTGGGGGGTGCATGGTTGCAAGGACATATTTTTCATGGTTTTGTGAAAGCACCTATTAGTATTCTGATTTGGTAGACCATAGCCCCAAATCTATTGAATATCAAGCAATCCACTATAATTTTAGTAGTGCCATATATATTTAATATCTACAAAAATTGGGGCATATTGTAAGCTTAGTAAGTCCATAGGGACAGCCTCAAGGATTACCCCATTTGATCAATTTAACACACCATCAGATATGGGTGTTGGCGGGGGGTTTAGGAGGCCCCTAATGACCTGACTCGTGACTGCATGTTTGCCCTAACCGTGGGACCACCAGAGTTGGGCCTGGCCAAACCAGGACTAGGACCGGGATCGGGACCAGACAAAAGTCCGGTCCCGGCCTTGTGGCCGGCTGCCTTGAAAATCGGCCAGAACCGGGCTAGGACCGGGCCGGTCTGGATTGGGCCAAACTAGGATTGGGACTAGATCTAGCTTGCATTACATAACCCCAGACTGCGGCCCGGCCTTGGCCGGCCCCAGCTGGTCCTGACCCCGGTCCACACCCAGCCCTGTCCCAGTTTAGGCCCAATCCTAGCCTGGTGTGACGTGGTTACTTAGGGTTAAGCTAAAATTGGTATTTCTGAAGCGATGTTTAGTGGAAAAAAGTGCAAATACATTAAAATAAGCTTATTCAAGAGCTTCTGATACCGATAGCACCTTGAAACGTCCAATTCCATGTAGAAACGGCGAAGTTATGGCCAGTTGAAGTTGTTGTACTTTAGCATGGGATTCGGACCGGTGATAGAAGCATCGGGGATTATGCGGAGCTGATTTAGGTGAATGGTGAACGGTGACGATGTGCCTGGACGCGCACTTGTGTTGTCTTGTCTTGATGTGACAGCGATGGATCCGCGATCGGGCATTGCGCATGCAAATTTGTGCGCGTGCATGCAGGGAATTCATGTAACCGTTCTGGCCCACTGCTTGGTCTCTCCGTGAGCCAGCGAGCCATCGTCTGGCTGCGCCACCACCCTCCGCATACAGCAGGCCCCGGGGGACGATCCCCATCGTTCTAGACCCACCGTGCATCCGAGGGAACGAGCGCCCCGCTACCGCCCACCAAATTCGGTGGAGAGGGCCGGCTGACCTCCAACAGCCGAGCCGCAGGGCGTAGCGACCCCACGAGCTTCGGAAACCAGCGGCGCCCTTCAGGGCCGCAACAAATTGGTTTCGGAGCCGACAACCCGTGGCCAGAAGCTGAGCAGCGGGCGCAGCATCCAAAGAGTGACCTGTAGCCTACAAGGCTGCAATTCGAGAAGCCTCCAGCATCCGCAGCGGCGGCCAGCCACAACCAACGGCTGAATCGCCGTGCTGTGAGCTGCGGTGTGCATTGAAGAGCCAAGGAAGAGCATTAGCATTGGGCGATTGAGTTTGGTGTGGGCAAAAGGCGGGCGATCACCGAACCAGCGCATCCCAAGCAGTTTGCATAGAGGATTCAATACTGGAATTCGAGCTGTGCCAAGCGCTCTACCCGCAGCCGAATACGAGAAGGCCAGCACCCATCAGTTCAAAGATTCAGCCAACCTCAGGTGTAGACGTGGCCGCTCACGCCTTTCTCTGTAAATTTACTTTTGTAATTTTTTTATACATAAAAAATCCGTCCATCGATTTTCCGTTACTTAGCCAGGGACGGGTTTCCGTAGCTGTTCATACCACGTCAGCTTTCATTTTTTTTTGCTCTTGAGCTGTCCGTCAAGAGGGTGTTTGTAGCCAGCGGTTTCTATAAAAGCGCTTTTTTTTGCTGCCTTTTTTGGCGTTCTGTTGCCATCTGTCACGGACTTTGAGATTCTGGTAGCGTTCTGTTGGTGAGCGGCGGTTTCTGTTGGAGGCAATTTTTGCCAAGCGGAGTTTTTCCCTCTGTCCAGCAACCTTTGCCTCTAGATACAGGCCACAGCAGTGATATAACGAGGTGCAATATTAATACATATGTCAACAACGTATGTCTACCTATTTGCAGCCAATGCCGTCACAAATGCTGCCTTGGCTAGTACTCCTTGCTAGACCGGGGACGCAACCCGATGTTCTCTCCCGGCCATCCCTTGCAAACACTAGACTACGTATATAAACTGTCGGTGCGGTCCCCCCTTGGCCGTGTCCAGGTACCCTGGCCCGCGCTCTAGGGCCTCTCCAGTGGAAGCGTGGTCGTCC